AGTTGTTGATCCTAGGTTGTAGCTGTTACAACCCGAGTGCTTGTCTTCATCTACATGAACATTCTCCTAACAGCATTGCAAGTGGGCTTGGTGACGGACGAACTACAACATGACAAAAGGTTTCAGCGAGCTTCGTACGGATTTACATTATTCTCGCTAGTGTAACCAATTGTCACTATGGGAGTAGCTGCACTGGTTTTCCTATATCTATTCACGTTCAACTTGATAACAACGAGGACGTTTTTGAACAGCACAAGACGGCACCGGCATGAATCAGTGAAGTCCAAAGCCGGTGCAGCGCCATAATGTGACGCCATTTCATTCGTACTTTGAACATGTTGTCCTAGTTCATGGAGCACATTTTATTATGGTGTCTGGTGGAGAGAATTCACATAAATAATGATGTCTCAGCCCGAGTGATGAGCCAAATACACGAAATCTCGCCATTGCTGATAAACGTAACAAGAGCCTCGGGATCTTACATGAGATAATATCTGGCGCAATAGTTAGGTAGCTCCTAGCTGGCTTGGCACCTCCACTTCATAGCTACCTCGCGCTCGGGCCTCTCTCTCTCCCTCACACGTCCTCTTAGTTTCTACTACCACCATATGTAGCTCCCCTTCCACCACCTCTCAGTCCTCCATGCTCTCAGTATCCGTTCGTCGTGCCTCCGTGACACCGGCAAGCATGTGGCCCACCCTAACTTTTGGTGCGATTTGGGCATTTTTGCACCCTAACAATCTCAACAACTATAAAAGATTTTAAATTGCAGCTCGGAATAATGATAGGGCGCCACTAACCACACAACCCCTTTCCCGTTGGGTGGACAACCTATGTAACCTTCCAACGCTCTGACTGACTTAATAGCAATTCCTGCCGCAATCCGCCCTGATCAAGGCCATTCCGGTCCATTATAGAGCTTTCGGTGAGAAGGCCGTCAGCATGGCCTCTGAGGGAGACGACGCCAAAGACCATCGAGAAGCCGTAGGCATTCCTCTTCAACCCGAGGGCGACATGGTGCTCACAATCCGCAACGACACAGATGTACGCGTGCGCGTTTGGGCCGAGTATCTCCGCTGGATAGATCCGTATTGAAAAGATGTCCTGGACACCGCTGTCGGAGACCCAGTGATCGAGGGATATACCACGGACGTCGTCCTTGTAGCGCTGAGAGTTGCAAATCGTCAGACACACGAAGTGCCGGAATGGATGAATCTCGATGATGCCTGGGACATATTTCTCTTCTGCTTCAGAACCAGCGTGGTCGACCTGATGAGGCCCTTCCTACGAAAGTAGCTTTGGCCTTTCATGTCGACCACAGTGCGAGCTAGAGAGAAGGAGTGGGCGCGACCGGGGAACAGGGAGTGGCTGTTCATGTCGTTGGTTCTTGGGTGGGGACATACCTTTGAAGAAGTGATTAAACACATGGCTATCACCATGGATTCCGACGAAGCTATCTACGAGGTTAACTGGAGGTCTCTCAGGACCCACGCCGAAGTGGAGTTTGAAGACGCTGAGGCAAGGGTATATCGTATCATTTTCAGAAACGTCAGCCATGTCCGCGCCTGCATCATTCGTCGGTGCCTCGACGTCTGCCACTACACCTTTAAGCGCTTATCTGAAGAGTTATCGAAAGGAAAATTACACTGTGAGATTGCCCTCACATCTTAGCCTTGCGAATTGGGGGTTCTTGGCGCATTGATTCGGGGTTTGAGCTCAATGGGTACACCTCTTTGGCCTCAGCGACCAAATCCCAAACACCTGATAATTAGCGCCAATGATCTCATACTCGCGTTCAGGGATATCAACCTCCTTTAAGATCTCGAGCATGAGGACTGTGTCCATTTCGACCATCTTTTCCATGAAGCAATTGACATGGGCTTATGTAGTCATGGGCCTATTTGTGGGCATCGAACGAACAGTGTTGGCTACGCTGCTCTCGAAGAAGAGCACAATTTGCACTCTTCTGGATTCGTGCAAAGCGTTTCTGAAGCGGATCCGCTGATTTGGAAGAGCACCACTTTTGTACGGTGGGGATTTATAGAGAGAGATGAGGCAGGGCCGGTCTTCAACCGGGAAAGGCACCGTTTTGAAGACCTGGGCTACGATAGCGATGGCGAGGATAGCGACTGGTGTGATGAACGATCTGATTCCGGCAGCGACCCGATTCCTGAACCGGGAGAGGAGTATTAGCCAGTCTTCCACGACAGTGACTACGACTCTGATGATACACCTGAAGACGAGTACTTTGGAACACACCGCCCCGTTTCCGGGTAAAATTGAAGCCTTTTCAAGCTGGGAGGCAGATTAAAGCCTGGCCTCCAGGAATAGGAATGAGAAGTACGTTCATCCATAGGAGAACGTACAAACTGTGTGAACACTTCATGTGTCACTTGAAGTGCGACTATGCGAAGAAATACGCGTGATGTATCAACCCAAGTTCTGTCCAACCCCATGGAAAAAGATGCAGAAGCACTCCCGATGGCGCATGTGAAGACGAATGCAGATTGCCAGCTGACTGTAGACGCACTTGCTGTAGTTAGTCAGCCTACGCTTTCGTTTCTTGTGTTGCAAATACTTACGAACGTAACCGCTTAAGATGATGTTTCTTAGACGCGGAGGGTAGGTGATGTATAGCAATCATAGTTACATCTTATCGCATAACCAACCAGTCGAAAGCAGGCCCATGGTAAAGTTTGCTTTTCGAAAAAGGTGAGCCCCTGAAGCGCTTCTGTGGATTAGTTGCGCAGAAATGTAACATAAACTTACATTATTGACCGCATGAAAGCAGTTTTGTTAGGCGCGGAGGGCACACGGCGTCGCCTTGTTGTAGTTGCGTCTTACTATATGGCATATCAGTGTAAGCTACCTATATAGCTCATAGTAAAAGCTGTCGTGTGGCTGCAGTAATAATGATCGGCAATCTCGGGTTGTCTTGTGCCGATTTAAAGCCAGGTTGGTGCCTCGGTGTCCTGGGAATTATGAGCTATTACTCTTCGTGATACTGATCCCGTTGCACGAGGGTGGTACGCGGCTAGAGCATTCGCCGAAAGTGTACATGTGCGTCCTTTACTTCCTAGAGGGCCGATACTTGAAGATCAATAAGACCGCCTTGAGTCCTACCGCAGTTCTACCGCTTGGCACTAGCGTAGGACGGTGTGAAAGAGAGCACGTGACAAGCGAGTGTGCGCGAATTTGGAGGACATGGAACGTTTTGTTGAGAGAAGATTTGTGCATTAAGAGGAATGTAGGTACAACCGTATTAACTCCGTAGTCATGATAATGACCGTGGTATAATCGCCCTCGTGGCCAACCAAGCATTACCCAACCCCGTTACAAGCTCTTGAGCCACGCCTACTCCAGCTTCAACGTCTCAGCAATGGTATCCAAGCCAGCAGCCTTCCCTCCATACACCTCTGGAATTCCAGGGCCTAGCTCAGCAGCCAATTGCTCGCCGTAACTCAGCACAGTGAACTTCTTGACAGTCTCCTTCGACACAATCAACTTCACCGCAGTGAACACCCAGCCCATGATCACCGGCACATTGACGAAGAACTTCCGGCTCAGCGTCTCCGGGTAATAAGCCGACAGCGTCTCGATGGTCTTCTTCGTCGCCGCCTTGACCACCGGGTCCTGTCGAAGGAAACTCACGCTGAGATAGTCGTGGATCTGATACCCCTGGTACGGATCCGCTCCCTGTCCGAAATCAGGAATCGGCACCGTGGCCTTCTCCAGCTCGAGCTTCTTCAAACCCAGCTCCATCAGGCCCACCCGCCAGCGTATGAAGGCGTCCAGGTCCCCGAACGTGCTCGAATTATCCTTGACCGCACCGTAGATGTTGAAGGTCGCAATGTCAGTGGTGTTGGAGCTTGTGGGGACCTTCTCGAGGGTCGTCACGTAGCCTAGGCCCGCGAAGCGCTTAGCTTCGAAGACTTCGTCGGCGGCCTTGAGGGGTTGGTATGTCTTTCGCCATTTCAGTGTTTCTTTCAGCTGGTGGGTGGCTTTGGGGATGTTGTTGGCGTTGGCGCGGAGGAACTTTTGGAGGATGAGCTTCGTGAGAAAGGGCTTCGCGGTGGGGTCCAGATGGATGCCGTAGACTTCGTCGTAGTCAGTCTCCTTGAGGATCTCGGGGAGCTGGGTGAAGAGCTGAGAGAGGGGATGGTCTGCGGGCGTCTCGGGCCATGTTGGTCCTGTTGTTGTTGTTTCTGGTGCAGTTATGGCAGGAGTGGTCTCTGCTGGTGCTGACTCCACGGGTGTAGTTGTGGATGGCGGTTCAGCTGCTGTTTTTGGCTCGGTCGTGGGAGCTGGCGTTTCGACGGGCTCCACCTCTTTAGAAGCCACGGGAGCCGCGGTAGCTTCAGTAGTTGGTTTCTCCTCCGTGGTAGACATTTTGAGGGGAGTGTAGAGGTGTTAGTACGTGATTGAGATCTGTTATCTTGTGGAGATGGTTCGGGGATGAGGTCTATTCTCCGACATCGGCGCCAGTCCGTGCCGTACATACAAGGGTCCCCCCCCTTGGAACCTCCCCGACTCGCATTCGCATTCCTTATCACTACCCATCTCTTCGTCTTCGCTTTTGCTTCGAGATCTCGACAATGGGTAGAGAGTGATTATTGCACTGTAAAAGCTTGGAAACACAATCTCAAAGCCATCCGGTCAGCATAAGAACACATACATGTGGGTATCGATTGATTGATAATCTACAGGTGCAACTACATGCACGATTTGACTGGTAGTCTTATATACATATGGCAAAGCCATAATTGACAGTCTCGTCAATTCTTTTTTCAAGTCGTTAAGCGATTGTTATGCAAGACCCCTAGTTATGCCCGATCCAAACTCCGTCCCTGAAATCAAACTCATTCTGGAGTCGCTACACAAATATCAATAGAGATTGGGGAGCCAAGCCGAGGCTCAAGAATGCAGCAAACACGGCCACACCATATGCAGTCTGTTTCCCCGCACGCTTTTTGTCAGTTGTTTGCTACCTGCCCGATTTAACCGCCTAGCGGGGCCACCCTGGCACCCATTCGCAGGAACGGCGTATCCTCATTCTCAATGCCTTGGAGCATCGTAGTAGCCTCTGGGGGAATGCGAGAGCCCATCCGATCGGGCACAAGATCGGGGGTCACGGCGCGAACGACCTCAGGCTTTGGTGGCATGAGAGCGTCTCCGTTAGGCTTGCCCACAGGGCTCACAGGGCTCTTCGGGCTGTGGATTTCCTCGACAATGGCGGCGTGTTTGGCGGCGCACGGCAGCATCTGCTGGAAGCCGAGCTCATTGGCTACCATCTCAATACTCTTGAAGTACTACACAATGTCAGCTGCCGTCTTGGCGTGTTACACGACAGACACTACCCACCTTCACCGTCTTGACCTGCAGTTCTAGAGTCGCGTCCTCGTCGACGACGATCATCGGGTGTGGGTGCAGCTGGAGGCTTGACAGTGTCCACATGTGGTTGACTCCGGCCTCGACGCACTTTTGCAGAGCAAGTGCTTTGTGGGCGCCAGTAATAATGATGACAACCTCTCGTGCCTGGGTGGTGTGTTAGTGAGGCGGTGTTCCAGAAGTGGTTCGACACATACATCCAATACAGTTTGCACTCCCACCGTGAGTGCCATTCTAGGGACCTGAGTCAAGTCATTGTTGAAGAACCTCGAGTTGGCAATGATGGTGTCGTAGGCGAGGGTCTTGACCCGGGTTCTAGACTTCAGACTCGAGCCAGGCTCGTTGAATGCAATGTGTCCGTCTGGGCCGATGCCTCCAAGGAAGAGCTCAATACCACCGGCCTTCTTGATCTTCTCCTCGTACGCAATGCACTCGGCCTCCAGATCGGGGGCGTTTCCGTTTAAGATATTGATGTTGGCTGGATCGACGTCGACGTGGGAGAAGAAGTGCTTGTACATGAAGCTGTGGTAGCTCTCGGGATGGTCCCGTGGGATCCCGACGTACTCGTCCTGGCCATGTTAGCCACATTCCTGCATGCTGTGCCGCAAGCAAGGGCGACGAGGTTCGGACCGCGAAGCTGCAGGATCTAAGACAGGTACAACGCTTACCATGTTGAAGGTAACGACATCGCGGAACGAGATGTCGCCGGCCTTGTATCGCTGGACCAGGAACTTGTATACATGCACGGGGCTGCTGCCCGTCGGAAGGCCCAGCACGAAGGGCTTCTCTGGCGAGGGTTCAAAGGCTTTGATACGCTCTGTCTGCCATCAGCTGCGGCTCAAACGGGAGCTTACAGGCAACACGAACCGATGATGTAATCAGCGATATACTTGGATGCGGTCTGCGGATCCTCTCTGATGATTAGTCTCCTGCAGGGCGTCAGCACGCGCCACACTATGCCAGGACGACGACCTACATAGTGGCGGTTGTTCGGTGGAGGAAGGTCAGAGTGAGGTCGAATAGTCTTTGTTAAGGTTGTCTGCTTGGTGAGCTCTGGGAGTTCTGAAGACTACTGCTTGGCCACTGGCTGTATTTACGGCAGGACATGCACCGGTGCTCACGTCACACTCTCCGCAATTCTCCACCGTCACAAGGCAAACAGCGAGAGTGAATTGGCCACGCCGTTGGGGACGCACTGGAGCGGCGGGTGCTGGTATCATCGCTGTGTTACGCGACCACGTCGCCGCGAGCAGCCATGGGCCGACTCCTCACAAAGCCGGCCTCGATCCGGAGCTCATGCTGTGGTCACGGCATACCTCCCTCTGGCGCCCGCTGGCCCCTCTATCAGGCCGTCGGTGTGCGACAACGGATTGGAACGCGACTATCTCGATGGCTGTCGAATGCACCGCGCGCTGCGACGCGACTATCAAGCGCGAGGCGGCGTGTAGAGAACTGCGACGCAGCTATCGGTTGGAGATAGCAGCCTGGCAGCGGCGGGGACAGATGCTGGGACGCATCACGATAGTAGAGCAGTCGGCAGCAGATGAGGTTACATCCACGGCGGACTGGGCGCAGGCCAACCGTTGCAGCTGGCGGGAAGCCGACCGGGGGCCCGCTGCACGCCTCACCCTTTCTCCAGCCTTTCACTGCCGCATGCACGCAAGCGGCGCCCAGCGGGCCACTCACGGGACGGCGTGGCGGCGTGGCGGGGCGACGATAAGCAGCCCCGGACAGGCCCAGCGCGGCGCTGCGTCGCTGTCCCTGGGTCGTTCGGCAGAGTCGTGGAGCTTGGGGTGCAGATGGCAGCCAAAGGATCCCGCTGAGGAGGGCGCCGAGCATGGATCGGAGGCGTCCCACGGTGTCGCGTGCAGCAAACGGGTGTGCTGCGAAAGGAGGAGGTCGAAAGTCGCTCGACGTGAGCCGGACCCTGGGCCGCAGCTGCTATAATAGAATCCAATCCTGCCGCTCCTGCTTGCCTTTTGTTTCTGGTCAACCAAGCCTCAACACCACGGTCCACCGCACCCCAGAGCTCCACCAGCACCCGCCGCCCTGGTTGACGGCCCTCTGCATTTCCACCAGCACCAGCAATTGCGCGAGGCCCCTCACCAACAGCTCCCGCAATGGATCACCAGCCCGAGAAGGCCGCTGCAGCTCACGAGCACAGCGCCAGCACGCCCACCGAGTCGTCGCAGACCTACAACGCCGAGGAGGCTGCTGTAGTCCGCGCCTCGACCTCATGGAAGTACAAGCAGCTGAAGATCGGCAGCTACAAGTTCCCCTTCTATGCCTCGCCGCCCGTGCAGCTGGTCATCGTCTCCCTCGTCTGCTTCATGTGCCCCGGCATGTTCAACGCCCTGAACGGCATGGGAGGCGGCGGCTTGGTCGACAAGTCTGTCGGTGACAAGACCAATGTTGCCCTGTACTCGACTTTCGCCGTCGTCGGCTTCTTCGCCGGAACCTTCACCAACAAGCTCGGAATCCGGATCGCCCTGTCTTTCGGTGGCACTGGCTACGCCTTGTACACTTCCTCGTATCTCGCCTACAAGCATCACCACACCACCGGATATTCCATCTTTACCGGTGCCTATCTCGGTGTGTGCGCCGGTATCTTGTGGTGCGCCCAGGGCGCCATCATGATGTCCTATCCCCCAGAAGCCTCCAAGGGCCGCTACATTTCGTGGTTCTGGATGATTTTCAACTTGGGCGCTGTGATTGGTGGCTTGGTACGTTTCACCCGGCCTCTGCGCGATTGCGGCTACTAACTTGGTGCACAGATTCCCCTGGGCCAGAACATCCACACCAAGACCAACTCCGCCGTCTCCGACGGCACGTACATTGGATTCCTTGTCCTAACTCTGATCGGCGCTGGTTTGTCCCTCTGCTTGGTCAATGCCAAGGATGTCGTTCGCCATGACGGCTCCAAGATTATTCTCATGAAGCACCCGTCGTGGAAGTCCGAGCTGCTCGGTCTCTGGGAGACTTTCCAGACGGACCCCTACATCATTGCCCTGTTCCCCATGTTCCTTGCTTCCAACTGGTTCTACGCCTACCACTTCAACGACATCAACGGCGCCTACTTCAACACCCGCACGAGGGCCCTGAACAGCGTCTTGTACTACTCGATGCAAATCGTCGGTGCTTTCGTTTTCGGCTATGCCCTGGACCTGGAGAGGTTCAGCCGCCGGGCTCGTGCTAAGGGCGGCATAATTGCTCTGTTCGTCATTATCATGGCTATTTGGGGCGGAGGCTATGCTTTCGAGAAGACCTACACCCGCGCAGACACGAGCGCGACTGATGCCGACGGCAACCTAACCTTCAAGACCAAGGATTGGGAAGATTCTGGCTACGTTGGCCCCATGTTCCTCTACATGTTCTACGGCTTCATTGATGCTGCGTGGCAGACATCTGTCTACTGGTGAGCCACTTTTTCCCCTTTGATCTTGCCTTTACTCTGGACACGTGACTAATGCTTTCCAGGTTTATGGGAGCTCTTACCAACAACTCGCGAAAGCTTGCCAACTTTGCCGGTTTCTACAAGGGCATCCAATCCGCTGGCGGCGCCATCACCTGGGCTATGGACGACCATGGAGTCTCGTACACGGCCATGTACGCTTCCAACTGGGGTCTCCTCGTCGGCAGTCTGCTTTGCGCAGTCCCCGTTATCCTCTGGAAGGTCGAAAACACCACCGCTCTCGAGAAGGATCTCGCATTCACCGACGAGACTATCGAGGACGTGGTTGCCACCAAGATCATCCACGAGGACGAGAAGGCTTAATTTCCCCTCTCTTTCCTTTTCCTACTAATTCACTTCGTGTATCTACGGTGTAGTTGAGCGTTTATTTGAGCAAGCGACTTCCACGCGACACACGAGGCGGAGAATTTACGAGCGAGCATTGTCGTTATGAGAGCACGGTGGGAGTCGTCCTAGAGAGCTGGGCTACAAGATCTGCTAGAGGGGGTAGCTACTTACAACGATGCATCTTATATGCGTTAAAGGGTACATGGTCGGGCTCTAGAGGGAGGATAGGTCGTGTTCCTTGATGGCTGGCAATCGTAGTAATATCTCGATACCCAATGAATTTGACACTTGAAAATATCAAGAACTTGTTCAGACAGTAGTGCTGCTCGTGTGACTGCATCTCAACTGACGCATGGAAACCTCTTTCCATAGTAGATCACATAAACTTATAACAAAGACTGATTTTGATGATATGGAGGTCCTCTGCGCTAGCAGCCAATTTTATCTTTCAAAATGTTGGGTATTGCATTACACCTCAATTAGACGACAGGCACTCATTCAACACGGACACTCGACTGTCACTCCGAAGAATCTCCCTTCTGGCAACAACCGCGCACCACTCTCTATTGACGCATCTCTGCCGCAACCATAACATCTATGAAGCATAACTGAACAAGACCATGATATCCCGCTAAATTTCCAGAGCGATATGCTATTAATAGCCTCCCAATAGCCCGCATGCGTCTGATGATAGATCACAACACAACCACAACACGAGTAGCAAACAACCCCTCCGCATATACGACGATACTACCATCACCATCACCATCACCACCACCCGTCTCAAGACCCAACACCAACACCCCGGGGTTTGGGTTCCGGTCCATCGCTAGCTTCGCCTAGGTATATCCCAGGTGTCACCCGATCAAACGGGGTTCCTTTCCCCAGACTCGTGCCATGCCGTCTGAACGTATCTCCCTCCCACTAGCGACGGTAGCACAGGGGGTGGGCAGAAGCAAACGGGGGGGAGCAAACGGATAAGGGCATCCTCGTGCGCACATCCCGCTGCAACGTGGCCGAGCTAGCGGCGCGTAACCTGGGATAGAGGGTACAGTATCGAAGAAGCTTCGTGGCGACCGGGGGGGGGCCCACTTGATTGCCGGGCGGCGCTCGCGGTTAGCTGCAGGATGGTAGGTAGCGGGCGAGCTTAGGGAGGGGAGGGGAGCATTGCAGGGATGAGAGCTGGTGGGCCAGCCTTATCGAGGGCCGATGCGGTGGTGTTTCAGTTGCAGCGTGAGGTCGCTGGGAGGATTGGCGATAGCGCGGGTGGAGGAGGAGGCTAGATTGCTTAATACGGGCATGCCATGCCACCCAACGCGGCGCGAGATGGAGCTTGAGTGCGTTCCACCCAATGTGGGCGCGTGAAGAAGCGAAAGTCTGGGGAGATCAGGCCGGATAGAGGATGCTCGTCTTGACAGGACCTTGGCTGTGGTTACACTCGAGGTGTGACCACTTATGCTCACGCCTCTCCCCGTCTCGCGGTGGTTCTGCGGTGGTTTAGCACGGGAGGCGTATTACCGCTGCCGAGCCATGTCGTCAACATCCTTGTGCAGGCAAGCGTTTCGTGGCCTGCGTTGGCGGCCTGCGTTTCGTGTCGTCGCCATGAGAGGAGAGTGACCTCGGGGTGTCCAGGTGGTGTTGCGGAGGGTGGTACAGATCTGGCAGCGGGCCGCTACGAGTTATATGAGGTTTATTTATGGGAATCCCACGCGCAGATAGCAGAGGGGTAGCGCCCCACACGAGCCACGGGCGAAGGGTGGAGATTGCGGGGCTTTACGCCAGCGGGATCTTGGCTCGCGGCGGAAGCCTGGGCGTTCCGCGGCTGCTGTGGCTGAAGCAGGCCGCTGAGCCTTGGAAGCCACTTGGGACCTGGCAGCTCTTCCCGTCCCAAGGCTGGCGATTCCCAGCTCCCATCACCATGCCGATCCAGCATGGTGGAATCGACCCCATTGATGCGACGATAAACACACGATACGCGCTCCACACGACACACTGCCGGCCCTTGCAACCCCCGGCTCGCGCTGCTGGCTTCTGTTCTCCGGCGTGGCCCGTCTGCGCGCCCCGTCTGCTGCGTGCGTGGTTGCGAGTCGGCCTCGAGGCGGTATGTAACCCTAGCCTCCAACCTCACCATAGTCGATCTCGCTGTAACAGCGGCCACGGCCACTCACACGGCGCGGCTCGATCCTCGGCGCAAGCTCCAGCCCTTGCTGCTGCCGTGCCCCATATCGCCCCGGCGAGTCCCCAGCGCCCACCGTCGCAGGCGCTGAGGGCATCAGCAATCCGCTCCCACGACGCTGGCCGCAGAGCATTCCCTGGCCGTCCCCAGCGTCCCCCAGCGCCCCAGCTGCCTGGCCGCCCTGCCCGTCCTGTCCATCCTGCCCGTTCATTCTCCGGTGCCCTCCACGCGCACGCAATGAAGGGCCCCGCCGTCGTAGCGGATGACACCTTCCAGCGCCTCTACATCTAACAACTGAGCCCGCCCGTACAACCGCCATGCATAAGAGCTGTTTGCGACATCGGTCGACATCCACCGGCCCGCCTGAAATCGTCCTGCCCTGCTGCCCCTCAACGCCCTGATCTGACTGCATACCTACTTTGACTGCTCCACCCCCGCTGCTGCGCCCAGCCATTCACCCGCATCCCGCCCACCAACCACTCCCGCAGCCACGCCGCATGTGTCCCTCGACCACCGTCTCACCGTCGAAAGACCAAGGAGCCCCTCCTCCCATGCTAGACCTCTGGCAGAGATTCATCTCTGCCCTCGAGCGCATCCTGATGCTGCCGTCATTCATCCAGGCCATATTCCCCTCGCTCGGGGGGCCCAAGCGCATACGAGATGTCGTACGCGCCTGCGACCGCTCGCTCGAGGACTACCGGAGCGAGGTCCAGCGCCTGTTCGAGGCCCCGCTGAATGCAAAGAGCCTGCTGGCCATGTCTGCAAAGCTGCAGAAGCAGTTCTACCCCAAGCTCCAGGCGAGCAACATCTGCATGCTGCCCTCCTACAACCACACGCTTCCCACCGGCGACGAACAGGGAACGTACCTGGCGCTGGACGTGGGTGGCTCGACGTTCCGTGTTGCGCTTGTAGAGTTGAACGGAAAGAAAGCTGGCGCCGAGAGCATGCGAATTACCCATATGCGGAGCTTCCGGATAGACAACGCCATCCGCTCCTTGAAGGGCCATGCATTCTTTGACTGGATGGCGGAGAAGATCGAAGAGTCCATTTCCGGTCCAGAGGGGAAATCGTGGAACAACGGATCGACGCTTCCCATGGGCCTCGCTTGGTCATTCCCTGTCGAGTATGCATATCTTTGCCCGTATTTGCAGGCTGAATTGCTAACGTCCTTGTAGACAAACGTCAATACGCAGCGGCATGCTGCTGAGTATGGGCAAGGGCTTTCTGGCGACGGAAGGCACTCTTGGGCGAGACCTTGGCGAGCTGATCATGAAGTCTTGTCAAGAACGGGTGAGCATTATGTTCAGCCCCTGAATTCTATTTTTTACTAATCAGAATATAGAACCTCAACGTCCGCATGGATTCTATTGTCAACGACGCCTCCGCCACTCTTCTCTCCAGAGCGTACAAGGACAGCTCAACGCGACTAGCGCTGATCCTTGGCACTGGGTTCAATGCCGCAGTCCATCTTCCAGTTTCCGCTTTGGCTCATTCCAAGTTCGGACAGCGGCCGCAAAGTTGGCACGACCAAGCAAACCACGTCCTTGTCAACACAGAACTCAGCATGTTTGGCAAAAATATCCTACCGACGACACGCTGGGATGACACTCTAAATATTAACCACACGCACCCCGACTTCCAACCCTTTGAGCATCTTGTCAGCGGCCGATATCTGGGAGAGATTGTCCGGTTAGTTCTCCTCGAGGCGGTCCGAACGGCGGGTCTGTTCGGTGGAGAAGTCCCAGAAAAGCTATCAGAAGCCTATTCCTTAGACACCGGCATTATTGCCGTTTTCGAGTCGTGAGTGTACTCCACAGCATCTTATTAGAGTCATACTGACAGATTCTCCTTCAAGTGACGAGTCTGCATCTCTTTCCCAAGCCTGCACCGCTTTTCAGACCGCTCACCCCCTCCCGAAACCCCCCACCTTCTCCGATCTCTCATTCGTCCGCCACATCTCGCAACTCGTGTCGCACCGCGCCGCTGCATACCTTGCGGCAGGCATTCATGCGCTGTGGTCCCTTCGCGCATCCGCCGAGGGGCTTAGCCCCTCATGTGTTGGCCGCGTGTCAATTGGCTGTAACGGTTCCGTTATTGAGAAGTACCCGTACTTCAAGGACCTCTGCCAGTCCTACCTGGACGAGCTCACAGACCTATCGGGCGCAGAGCCACACTCCGTCGTACTAGAGCCAGCTGTCGAATCAGCGATCTTCGGCGCCGCCGTGGGTGTGTGCTGCCTTGAGCAACGCGAAGCCTGAGTCCCTTGACTTGGTCTTTCATTGCCACAACACCCCTTTCCTCCTATTTGTCTGTCCTCCTTGCATGGCTAGGCGTCTGGTAAATCGAATTGGCTATTACGGATGGGAAGCATAGTATCACGAGTCACGTGCATTTTGCGATGTTACAACGGGATCCATTTATTTGGTAGGATCTTAGAGCCAGCTCACGCTCTTACGGGAGCGTGAGCCGGTCGGGGTTCTCGGATTTTGCATCCATTTTTCTTTTCCTTTCTAATTCTCTTGCTTGCTACCGGCATCAATCGCCCTTGCCCGGCATGCCACGTCGTGGTTTCTTTTACTACCCTATACTACCACTTGATGTTCCCCGTTGTATGTTTCGAGCAAAGGTAGGGTCTGCAGGATCCGCTGATGTCACATTCTTCTTCTCTTTTCATCATTTTTGTCATGCATTTGGCCTTCGGCGTTTCGAAGCAACGGGCTTGGCGTTTCACCGATAAGGTGTGGGTATGCTTGCTTGCGCAACCGGGCAGACTTAAATCAAGGTTTCGGGGTTTGGTTATTCTGCGATTTTAGAGAATCCTGGCGGATAGCTTTTCTCATGAAGCAAAAGTTTTTAGTGCCATTTATCTTGCCATTTACGATCATATCTATACTATAGGCGATGCGCTATCTCTCTTATCATTTTTGAAAGCGAGTTACTGAGGGGCGTATTGGTATACGCTTCTTATTTAATAAGCATCCTCGAGCTTGCCACGGGCGCACTTGCTGGCCGCATTCGATGACAAAGCTGTCAGGCAATCACTACATCCAGAGATCGTGAAACCTTAGCGATGACGAGAGCGTAAGATTCGTATTCAGGAACTTGGGATTCCGCCAACTTCCGCACTCTCGCTCAAGCTGCTTCTTCCTCACAATATCCATCATTTAGACGAGGTTACATTTCTGTCATCGGAAACCTGCACTCGATAAAGCAACATTTGTATGTCAGCTCAGTCGGACACCGACACCTCAGAGAGGCATGAGGCGCTGATCTAAACTAATGGCTAGGGCCTGGATCTTCCATGCTCAATCGCGGACTTTGGGCTAGCGGAAGATTGCCAGCAAAGCCAGATACTACATCAAGTCCGCGCCGATATCAAAATAAGGTGATTTTCCTACACCGCAACACACGTCCCAAACCCCGCTTGTTCCGGCGCTTCAATTCCTGCAAAGACCCAACAAACACACGTATTGCGTGCGCGAGCAAACTTCGTTTACGTGGTTCGTTCGTTTGCGGTGCCGCGGGCGAGGTTGCATCGCGGCGGTCCATCTCATCCCATCCCATCTCGAAAAACTAACCAAACCCGATCGTAATGCATCCATGATTCCCCACATTCCTGGCGCTAACTTGCCTTACCCAACCAAACCAGCAAAATTTGAGGGCTGCTGCCCGCTTGCGTGCGTGTTTGCTAAGGTTTGGGTCGGCTATGTAATTTGTGGTGTAAGTGTGCGTATGGGTAAGTTTGTTAGGTTGGCGGGTGATGCTATTATTGGAACGATGGTAAATATATACGTGGAACCCGTACGCACACCATATCATGGAATATGCTGCTTCTCTAACACTTTAATCTCAGCGACGATGTTTGTATGCATCATGCTACCGTCTTTTCGCCTTCTCCGATTCTACCGCACATTCTCCTCAGCTTTCGAGCTCGTAAAAGCGTGGAAACATCGGCAGTGTAGAATCTGATGCTACAGCACGTCTCTCCTCACAGGCACGGTAACTTCTCCGAGCGGATCGGTTGTAAGAAGATCACGACATCTGGCCATGGAAGCAAGAAAACTACCGATTGCGTAACAACAATTGCCCCGACGTCTTTGTTTGTCGTCGCCTCTCCCTAAGTAAACGATACGAGGTGGCGGAAGCGTTTCGACGTTGCCTCCAAAAATTGTGGATCTTAGATATCCTTTTTTTCATCAATGCTTCGAAACCGATGGTGGCTTGTCGAGTTTTTTCCTTGCACGGTCTCTAGGGTTGCAGTAACAATCTCATACGCTTAGGCTAGTGGCGTAGGTTGCGAATCTCCTCTATCCGACGCTGCGGAAAGATATTGGGATGCGGTGGATATCAATAATCAGCTCAGCACGCCATCGACGCATCATGAGGTGAAAAGAGGGTCGGATTGCTTCCTCTGGTAGCGGTCAGCCTAGATAGAGAGGAAAGAGGTAGGTGGTATTCGCGTCAGACGTATGAGTAGGTTTTAAAGCGCAGAGCTGCCTCAACTTTCCTACCCTTTCTTTTTTCTCTTCTTCTTCTCCTTCTTCTTTCTCCGGTCACGGGTAACCACAGTTACTTTTTCTTTCGAACGAACTGCCATGGCCCCTTTCCAGTGGACCAGACCTTCACGAGAGACCCAGGATCACCAGAAACTGAGATTTGAAAAAAAAAAAATTCGTATAAGGGACACATTTCTCGCTTTCTCCAATCCTATCGCAGTCCGCCCCGTAACACCTGGAATAGAAATATGCCCTGGGGTAAGTTATACAATGATCCTCCTCATCCATCAATCAATATCTCTCAATCAATCGCTCAACCGCCATCGCCATCGCCAAGAAGAAAAAGCCATCCCAAATTCAATCCATGGAGGAGAGAAAAATAGTCGCACCGTGCCAAGGTATCAATGGAAAGGGGGTATGCTTCCGAGATTTGAAAGAGATTTGAGTCCATCCGTAAATTTGGTATATTCCATACAAATCGTCTCGTTCCCGTCCGTTGATGAATAAAACACCGCATAACGCCCAAAGGTCCATGGAAAAGATCGCTGGAAACGGCGGAATCGAAGATAAAGGGACGCTCGCTTGTGGTAAGAAAGTCGTATCGGTGCCAGAATTCGAGGTTCAAGGTCCACTATGGAGTCCAAGGATAGGGAATCAGCTGCAGCCGAATAGGTAAGCTTAACACAACAGGGCCTATACTAGGATGGAAGCCTATCTCTCGATGTGGAGTCCCAGGATGAGTCTGTCGGCAGATCTCTCGGTCCGATAGGGTCTGAAAGAGGCTAAGAGTCTGGAGGCGACTTCGGGGCGGTAGGACGAACGAAAAAGAACTTCGTGGCCTAAATCCAATGGCGCTGTGATTCCTCCGCTCGCATCACCGAGTTAGGTGTCTTAGAGGCTCGGTCACCCCGCCAGCCGGGCGTAAGATCATGCCGATACCAAGATCGGGCCGTCGCACGCGGCACGTTGCACGCACACGGTGAGAGGAGGCGTGGGCCGTAGAGCGCATCGTAGAACATCAAAGCTGCGCATTTGTTGTTCCGGTGCCGCGTTTGTGAACTGAACCGGCCGGAACATCGTCTTCTGTTCGAGTATGCTACCAACATCCAGGTCTCGTGGCAGGGTCAATCTATCACATCACCAGTTCTCGGAGAAGTATCGCTTGGATCGGCTCTTGACAGCAACAGCTTTGGGATCTTGGGGCAGATTCGTGTGGTGAACGACGTGTGGCCGGTATACAGCGTCGACGGGTGGCATCCAGTCATCCAGCCCTAGCGGGAAGTACTCGTACAAGAGATCTGCGCTTTCGTCCGGACTACTAATCAGATTCAATGAGAAAGACGGGGGTCTAGCAGGGGTCAGTCTCTGGTGCTTCTTCACTGGGTCAGAAGGCGAGGCGGATTTCTTTGGTTCTTCGTCTGTCAGTGACAAGTTGATTGGCGCCGGCGGGGGTCGAAGGTTCTGTTGTTGCCTCGAGGTCTCCGGACTGGATTGTGCGTATGGACTTGCTGATGGCATGGGATACGATACAGCCGCTTGCGGGATTGCAGTCATAGCGCCGGGCTGGCCGGTTGGGATCTTCCAGTCGAACATGTCTGGCGAGACGGGAAGGTCGTTGGCATCAAACTGGAAGGGCAATTGGAGCACGTCCATCGGCTTATTACTGCGATCGCCATGCAGCGCATTGTTGTGGCTCGATTCGCCCGTCGACGTCCTCTGGGGTTGGGTTGGCATGTGAGAGGCCTTTCGGGCAGTGCTTCCGCCCCCACTGATCGGGAAATCCTTCCGCGACTGGAAGTTCCTCGGGCTTCGTCCGCGCACGATGATAGCTCCCGAACGAACTTCGCAGATGGGTATCTTCGCTCCAGTAGATAGTGTGGCCATGACCTTGAGACGCACCACAAAGTGCTGCTGTAGCTCCTTCCTCCGTCCGTTGTTCGCAGTCGCTATGCGGAACTGCAGCCTCTTCCATGCGATGGGGAAATTGACGTATTCTGAGTCCATGTCTTGTCCATTGGAGAGGTCTAGAGGATATGCGGGCGGCTCCTTCTCCGTCTTGTCCTCCACGACGGCCGAGCTGCTGGCTGGCGTCTTCCATGGCACCGAGATAATCTTCACCGGGTTTCCCTCCAGCGACTCGGTGGCCGAAATGCTCAGTTCCTGTCCGATAATAGGAATCTGATCTCCCTGCTCGGTGATGATGTACTGGAGCCCGCGAGGTAACGTGATGGTCCCGGTAATCTGGAAGAGGTTCCTCCTGTAGCAGGTCAACTCGGTGGGCGGAGCAGCGACATCGCCGGCGGTGGCCCAGGGCGACTCGGCGAGGAAGAACATGCCATGCAGCTGCGCCGATATGTTGATCGAGGTCCGCCGGAACTGGTAGTCGAGCAGCTGATAGGCATAGACGGGCAGCGAGAAGCCGAGCAGCTTGTTGTCGCGCTCGATGGACGGGCTCTCTGCGCCATTCTGGTCGGGGTGAGGCGGCGGCTCGTAGGTGCTGAGGGCGTCGGAGAAGGGGTCCTCATATGCGCTCGAGAAGCGCTTCAGGGGCGGCGGCGGCTGGATTGCGTGCTGCGCAAAGGTGGCATCGTCGCTCCTTAGAAGGGTCAGCATTTGCATGAGAGCTGCTCGCAGGACGGTGGGCTTACCCCGCGAAGGTCTCTGCGTCGTAATTAGAGTGGTGATCGAGGCCGTCAAGCGGCAGCATCGGCACCATCTGCTGGTGCTGGTCTCCCGCGGTTACGTTCTGGAGTGACATTGGGGCCGCCAAGTAGGACATGGTGATGGTATCGAAGCCCTCCATGGCGGTGATAGGGCCGAATCGCGGCGGGCGTGGGCGTGCCTTGAGCGGCTGCGTTCAAATAAGGAGGCCTCGCCGTCCGACATGCGACGCAGCTCGAGACAGTTCGATCGAGGGTGGATATGGGTGGGCTGGGGAGGGCGGACTTCGAGGTGACAGCAAGGCGGGCCAGTCGTGGGAGGTGTTGACGAGGGGGCCGGCGCAGGCTAGAGAGCGACGGGCTTGGTGCGCCAGAGCGGGTGGGCGAGGCCGAAAATAAAGGCACCGCAATGCTCGTCGCGCAGCGTGTGCGACCGCTGCCAGTGCCCCCGATGCGGTGGCCTGCAGCGCGCTCAAACAGGCAGCTGGCCAGGGACACCGACACCGCCGGCGCGGGCAGGGCGAGGACGAGGCTGCTGCGTTGTGCGGTGTCGCGGCGAAATGGGCATGGCGGAGGCCCTTCTTTGGGCAGTCTTCCAGAACCTTGGGCAGCTCGCCGTTGGAGATCTGCGGCCGCTATCCACCGATTCAGTGGGCGGCTGACGTGCGGCTTTAGGCTCCCCCACGACGAGCAGGACGAGCAGGACGAGCCGGACGAGCCGGCGCAGGAGCAAGAGTCGCGCCACCACGCCGCAGTTTGGCCTCCGTTTGAGGCGTGCGTGTGGACGAAAGACGGCACCAACAGTCCGCATGGTGCCCCAAGAACAGCCCAAACGCCGTCAGCTGGCCTCAGTTCGAGGCGTGGCCTGGTTGAAAAGACGGTAACAATAGCCCAGTGGCGTCCATCAAGACGACCCCGGACGCCTATCCATGCTACTCCTCCCAGCTACAAAGGTATCCGTCGCGCCGACTGGCTAGATCCAAGCAAAGTCAAACACCCAAGAGAAACATGCTTCCCATACGTGCGCCCACCGCCGGATACTCAGCAGGCTTTGGCATCTTCATGCGCGGCCCTAATCATCACAGACTCCCTAGACGGTTGGCGAGTCAGCATACACCGCCAGCGCTATGTGCTTGCCCCGCGACTCAATTTCTTCAACTCGTACATCTGATGCGCCGCGGTCCCAGCAGCCGTCCCGGAAATGAGCTCTCAAGCCAGATTACGAGGGCGGGATCATGGTCCACGTCGCCGCGTCGCAGCTCACCTCCTCGAAGTTGTGCAGCACGTCGAACCCCATGGCGGAAAACCCATCAAAGTTGCCGTCCCCGTCCATCTACGATGTGTCAGCTCGTGATAGTCGGAACTCCGCCAATCAGTACTCACATAATCTAGGATGCAAGCATTGCACCCCTGCGCCTTGATCTGCCGCATCCCTAGCAGAATGAGGCCCTGCAACAACGTCGAGTACTCCCCGACTGCGGGGGAGATGACCGGCGACGAGATGCCGCCCGCCATCTCGTTCAGATCTTTTATGGGCGGCACGTACTCCGCCAACCGTGAGTGCATGTTGTAGAGAACCACGGTTCCAACGAGCGCTCCGTCCTCTGGTCGTTTCGCCCGAATGATCCCACAAGCTGAAGGATCTGACAGCGCCATCTTGTAGACCTCAGCCAGCCCCTGGCGGTTGCTTGTCTTAATATGGTCCAGGATAGGGCCTGAGTACTCCCACCCATACACCAGGTCAAACTCAGCTCCGGCTCCGGCCAGACTCTTTGCCATGCCTTCAGGAGGTGTCCAGGTGAGCAGATTGCGGGCGACCATGCTGCACACTGACCGTGATAGGGCTGCGCTCCACCCGAGGTTGGCAAACCAGGAGCGGAGCCGCTTCCTCTCGCCCCCGTGTCCGGTCGGGATACCCAAAAAGATGCTTGGCAGTCTGGACCCCAGCTGAAACCTCTTGATTCCTTCTCTCTGTAACAGAGTTCGTATGGCTCGATTGTGTAGGGAATGACCGATGGAGAGTTTCCTCCGCGAAGGATCCACGAATAGGGCGCCAATCACTCCAGTGCCAGTCGTCCGGAAGAAGTAGGTGGAACAAAAGCCGTACAGAGCTTGGGTGCTGCTATTTCGGACAACGAAATGTGCTTCAACGACCTCCGGATGATGTAATGTGAACGAGTTTGATGTTGCGCTTGAAAGCTCCGAGCGTTGGTTTGGCGGCGTACCCTCCATGACGGCGATGATGAGGCTGTCAAGAGCATTGGCATCGCGCTCCTCGTTGTATGTTTCGACCAGCCAATGCTGCTTTGAGTGGTGTAGTTTCTGACTCTTGCTGATCGTTCCAGGCAGTGTCCCGGAGGGTGAAAGTTCGCCGTACAGAACTTTTACGAGGCTGTTGAGCGCGGTTTCCGTGAAGTCGTAGGTGCATATATATGTTCCGATGCTGGTGTCCATAGCAAAATCGTAAGGAGAGCTGACCGAAACGACAATGAGAGGCTTCTCTCTCTTTTCTCCCCCGGTGGTGTATTGCATATTGCAGATCATCGACACGTGTTTGGTGAATCCATGTTGGTACAAATTCCGATTTGCGTCCGCGGTCATGACTATAATGGCACTGGCTCTGTTAATCAGATTCTCGTGGACTGGACGGACGCCGTTAGCGGTGTATGACGTGTGGAGAACGCGTCCACTCCGTTGTCGTGCGAGTGATCTCCCAAGTTCCCGAAATACTCGCTCTCCACTCATTACTGAGGCACTCCGCTCCCAAACTGCAGGCTCAGGGGACCCTGTGGCAGCCGTCTCTGACAAAGCACGTGATGCTGCAGATGCGGCGAGAGGTTTGACAAGCGGGGTTAGGAGAAGAAGCTCTTCTTCGCTGTCGATGATATTGGTCAGCGGTAGTAGTCGGTTCTTGTCTCGAACAACAGTGATGGATGAGTTATATGCTTTTGTTGATAGAGCGGTGTGTGACGGTTGCAGCGTTTCGAGGAAAGCTATTCCAGGGGGGTGGAGCGCCTTCTCCCACGATGTGCATCTTAGCTTCATGGTCAGAACTCGGCGGAGCGAGTTGTAGATCCTGTCCTTGGTGATCATGGAATTCTCGATTCCAGTTTTCAGACCCTTGATGGCTTCCTGCTGGACTTGGAAGGACCGACAGAGGAGAATGACGTCGCAGCCGGCGTTGACGGCCATAACAGTGCCTCCACCGACGCCTATGTTGTGGCTCAAGGCCTCCATCTCGAGGCATTCTGAGACGACGACACCATCAAACTTGAGGTCTGACCGGAGCAGTCCATCAACAACTTGATCCGAGAGGCAGGCGTGCATAGCGTTCAAACCTGCCGAAGACATGGCACATCCGCCGACCATCATTGAATCTAAGCCTTGTTGGATGGCATTGCGGAACGGAATGAGAGCACTCAGGCTCAGCTGTTCTAGTGACTCGGTGATGATGGGGACGTCTAGGGTGGATCCAAGAAACTCAAGGTTTCCGTAGGAAGGAAAGTGCTTTCCGAGAGTGACAACACCAGCTTCCTTGTAACCTTTCATGAAGGCTACACCGTAGGCAGAAACTTCTTGCGGGTCATCACCCGCGGTCCTAACACCCAGGGGCTGGTTCCGAGCATTGGTCAGAACATCTAGACACGGTCCAAATATCCAGTTGATACCGCAAGCTGAAATCTCTTGTGCTGTGGCTTTGGCAACCTCGAAGGCCAGATCTGTTGAGCCAGTGGCGGCGATTCCCATGTTGCTGGGATACTGCCGGATATAAATTTCATCGAAAAGGCTGTTGACGCCTCCATTCTCCTGGTCGACGCCGATGGCCAGTGGCACTGGATGGCCGGCATCATGGGCTACTTTCTGCAACTCGTAGCACAGTTTTGTGGTTTCCTCGGCAGCTTCATGGTGTTAGTGGACAGACTTGGGTGGTGGTTGCATATGAAGCGAGGTCAGTTTATGCTCACACTTCAGGTTCTTTGCGGTTAGTAGGATGCAGCCTAAATGGTGCTTCTCGATCAGAGTCCGGATCTGTGGGGTCACGGTGGTCCCATCAAATCCCATCATAAACAGTTGGCCCTGGGCCAGTCAGCATATGGACCGCATGGCGTGCCATGGGAGATCAAACACACCATAGTCCTACACTCGTTAGTGGCAGCCACTTGGCGGAGAGGATCGGGACACGGTACCTGTCCAAGTCGTCCCAGACGGGATCCAGCTTCGCCTTGCTCGCCATATTGCTGGCGACCCGGGAGGCAGTTCGGCAGGGCGACGGTGGTAAGTGGAGTCTTGGAATGGATTGCGCGAGCCGATTAAGCGTGAGCCAGTCGATGTACGGATACGCGATGTATGGGCAGCGACGTGGTATCAAGCATTCTTTGCAACCCGGAAGGCGAGCGGGCGTGGGGTTACACTGTGGCTGGGCTGGCGAGGTCCCTTGCGGTGGAGCGCAGAGTGCAGAGTTGCATCAGCGGCGAGGCCTGGCGAGAGGTGATGGCACCCTAGCCGGCCCCTACCGATTGGCGAGCCCCAAGAGTTTCATCGGCGATATCCAGAATCAGAGCTCTTATCGACTTTATTGTCGCAGTGCCTGTCGTGACCGCGCGGGTCTGCGGCCATGCCATGTCGTAGCGCTATTGTGGTATTCATCGCCAATGTCACCGGGAATCAGGCCAGCCAGCGCCTCACGATAAGCCCCGTTAGCAGCGCAGGCGTCTCGAGAGCTGGAGCTTCACGTAAAACTCTTCTCCTCGTGACGATGACGAAGTAGCTTCTGCATCCATGGGGCAATCTGATAAAAGTATGCCCCGCTGCTAGGTATTCACTGTTGAGACTTTCTCAACCAACATTTCTCTCCTCTACCCACCACCATCTTCAAGGAGTGCTCGCACTCTATTTCCATACATACCATCTATTCTTTGTCCCCGTCCTCTACATACATTCCACCGCATCAACCCCTCCACGGCACCCCACCAAAATGCCGTCCGCGGTCACGGAGTACGAAAGCCATACACCGAGCGGCATCACCAAGTTCACAAACTGCCTGCTGGTCAAAGGCAACCAGCTCGTCAAGGAAGACCTCTGGATCAGCTCTATCAACGGCAAGATCCTCAAGAGCCAGGAAGTCTTCTACGAGCAGCGCGCAGTACCAGATCGCGTCCTCGACCTTGGCGGTCGCATCGTCTCGCCCGGCCTCATCGACTCGCAGCTCAACGGCGCCTATGGCGTCGACTTCTCCGTCATTCCCGAAGATGGGGCAGCTAGCTACGGCAAAGGCGTGCTGCGTGTCAACAAGAGCCTGATCAAGACGGGCGTCACATCATACCTGCCAACCCTTACAAGTCAGAAGGCCGAGGTGTATCACAAGGTCCGCTAAGCACAGTTACAGCATCACTGTCCGCAACACAGTGCTAATTGATCTCCTAGGCCCTTCCCTTCCTTGGACCTTCCGGTGCACCACGCGACCCCTCTGCCGGCTCCGAGTCTCTTGGGGCCCACTGCGAAGGCCCGTTCATTAGCCCGACGAAGAATGGCATCCACGACGTCTCGGTCCTCCGCACTGCTCCCCACGGCATCCTCGACCTCGAAGAGTGTTACGGTGCTGCAAACCTAGTCTCGCCTTCGCCAATCAAATATATCACCCTTGCACCTGAGCTTCCAGGAGCGCTTTCATGCATCCCAGCCCTCAAAACTCGCGACATACGCGTGTCGATTGGTCACAGCGAGGCAACATACGAAGAGGCGCGCGCTGGAATGGCTGCTGGCGCCGGAATGATAACGCACCTGTTCAACGCCATGCGGCCCCTCCACCACCGCAACCCAGGTATCTTCGGGCTATTGGGCACTGCGTCCACCACTCTGGGCTACGTTAAGCCCTACTTCGGCATCATTGCAGATGGAATCCACCTGCACCGCACGACCATCAAGATCGCGTGGAATGCGCACCCGGATGGGTTCATATTAGTCACTGACGCCATGTCGCTCGTGGGTCTGCCGGATGGTACTTACGACTGGACAAATGGCTCTCGCATCATCAAGAAAGGCCCGCTGCTCACGCTCGAGGGCACCGACGGCAAGATTGCAGGCTCGTCCATCTCGTTGATCGAGTGTGTAACCAACTTTCTAAATTGGAGTGGCGCAAGCGTACCAGAGGCTCTAAAGGCAGTCACCGAGACGCCAGCACGCATGCTTGGGCTTCACGGTGTCAAGGGCACCTTAGACCCAGGAGCCGATGCCGACATTGTGATCCTAGAGCTGCAAGGCACCGAGGCAGGTGAGAAGAAGCTCGAGGTAGAGCAAGTCTGGAAGTTCGGGCAGAAAGTTTTTGAAAAGAACGAGAAACTTGGCCTATGATCTGCATTAGACCATCTCCTAGACTGAACTTTTTTGAGCATTACTCTTGCATTTAGATACCAAGGAAAAATTTGGAGTTCAGGGTGGTCATTTTGTTTATGCACCAAAAGCTCATGGCTCACTAAGCGGAAAGTAAAACATATTTAACGTGCCCAATTACAAGTACCAGAACGTATTCTACTCGGGAATAGATCTTAGTATCTCAATGTGGCTAGAGAGTCACGTGAAGCGTGAACAGGCCGCGTCTACAAGCGTCGAGATAGCGGGCAACCCCACCTCGCGAGGCTGCACCTCTTCACATCATGCTACCCTTCCACCTTTTCACAAGTTAATCTCTTTCATCTTCCAGCAGCTAATATCATCAGGACCTCTGCATGCTCTATCCCACGTAGTTAAGCGGCTCCGGCCCGTCTTCCAAGGTTTGAGCCTGATGCCAAGGCCTTTGACGACCGCATCTCTTCAATACCCTACCGTGGATCAATCGCTTTTGCAAACACTGACCATATCTTTGCACTTCCTCGTACCAGACCTAAGATACCCGCCGTGTACTAAGAATATGCCAGCATGATTGCAGCTCCGCGGCGTCTTGGCGCGTAGAACTGTGCCTCACCCTCTCATCAACATTCAACACCACATCACCTGCAACTGCGCCATGGAGGGGTCATATCCCAGTTGAACGTGTTTTCGACCCCCGCAGGTTCCTACATCTGCTGCCATGCCAACATGTGGCACAGACGAGCGGCTAATCAGGCTTTCTAGCATCCGAAATATCAGAGTATAACCGCCCAGCCGGACATTCGCTGCTGGGGATCCAACCACAGTTTTATTCCAAGATAGCCGCCATTGCAGAAATGCGGCTCTTTTCATTTCTCGATCGGGTATCGCAGTCCCAATCAAGATGGCTTGGCACCTAGTCGTCGTCTTAACGAAAGCGCAATTATAGATCAATCCACCGTGTACTTCATGTGCCTCAATGATGGTGTTAGAAACGCATACTCGCTTCTTTCTGCAGTCTCTTGAGACTATGTGCCGCACTGCGGCATCTTTTTCGAATGCGCCCTTCCGTATTCCCTCGTTCTGTGATACTGTCGATTGTCTTTCTTTGCAGCCTTCGTCCGTTCCAATATACCTGCCTCATTTAGGATCATATTGGTTACGCAAGGTTTCTCCATTGACCGACATGCTAGGCCAAATGCTACGGTCCTGGACCAACGTCATTTTAGTAAGCTTGAAGCCATCTTATATTGTATACAGCCACTGATGATAGCAGGCCGAGCTTCTACTGATAGCTTTTGTTGTTCAATTCTTATTCCTTGACATCACTCAAGTACAAATTCCCTACTTCAAAAACTTCCCGAATCCTTTGAGGCTGTTTCGCCCTCAAACATCACCTCCACCAAGTTCCTCGCCATTTCCAACATTTTCTATATCTGTGCCACAAGAAGGAGTCGTGTGGAGACGAGAGGGTCATAAGATTGGTTCAGATAGTCCCTCTGGAGGTCCTTCTGGCCTGGTCGGCCCCGCTGTTTCCGGATCATCCATCATCGCCACGTTCCAGTCTCAAGGCACTTCGGTGTTCAGCATAGTTACATCTCAAACTTCAGAGGATACTGTCAGTTCTTCGACCGCGATCAATTCCGCTTCAGTATCTACAGCCAATCAGATTTCAAGCGGCTCCACTAGCTCCAGCGTTAATATTCCACCACCCTCTACCGTACAAGTCACAGCCACTGTCACTTCTATTCAGACTTCGACCATCCAGATTACGCCCAATCCACAGGGACCTGATATTATTATTGGATCCAACATCTATCCTTTCGATACCATCACCAGAACCATTAGCCAGTCGACCGGCGGAAACATCATAATCGGCCCCACAGAAGTGGTGTGCGGCACAGTCACGATACCTCTCGAGGCTACAGGAACAGCACTACAGGCTCTTTCTTGTCAAGGCGCAATGGTGACCGCCAATCCCGCTCCTACCTATGGGAACTTTTCTGCCCTGGCAAACGAAGTGAATATCATCATGGATAACGACGAATTTGTGCTTCTTCCATTCCCGTTCACGATACCGCGCATCCTTCCATCTGCGAGTGCAGTCCAACAGGTTGAGATGTCACCCTCCGGTGTGATCATAGCTGGAGCAAATATGCCTATCCCGTCAACACTCAAAGGCCAGACCGACCTTGGTGACGGTATTGTGGCTAAGCCAGGAGGACCGCAGAAAAAGAAGAAGCCCGGCTCTAATTGCAAAGGTCTTTTCGGAGCTATCGGATGCTTAGTCAATACAGCAAAAGACGCCGCTGAAGGGGCTGGAGGTATTGTGAAGGATATGGAACCCTTTGTGAAAGGCGCCGTGGATACCGTCGACCATGATGCCATCACCAACAAGCTAAATTTGCTTGACGGAAGTAAGTCTCGCTCATTTCTGTCACATTCTCTTGCCCTCAGTCTGTGTAAACTGGTTTACTACTGCTTGACATTCTTCAATGGATCAAACCGAGATGGAAGCCCATCGTTTTGAACTGTCGGTCAAGTCATCGAGCCACCTCAGGTCGCTGTAGACTAGTTTACACAGAATGGAGCGCGGCCTATGGCCCCAGATTCTTACCGACCCGTTGAAGAAATGGTGGTAGAAGCGTATACACAGACCTATGACGATGCGGTGTCCTATACTGAGGTGCATTTGGCTGACTAAACTAAGCTGCCCAAGATTTCGCCCATACCGTCAACGATCTTACTGATGAGTTTCCTTCTGACTTTGGCAATGACCTAAAGTCTATGGACGGCAAGTTCAAAAATGGCCCACCAGACGTTGGATCGCTTCTCAAGAATGCTTGGCTGGAAGCACGGCACCTTACCAACGTTGTCAATGCTGCTAAGAACCTGCTGAACGGGCTCAAGAAGGGCGGCCCCCCTGAACTTACTAAAGACGTAGCGACACAACTGAGAGACCTCCTAGATCCGAGCGTGGCAAAACCAAAGGGTGGTCTTGGTCTTGAGATTCCAGATCTTTCTGCACTTTCGGAACTAGAGCCGGTGGACGATTCGCCAACCCCGACGAAGTCTGATTCACAGTCCTCGCTAGCAACCAGCGTTCCGTCGACAACTTTTCCTACTGGGTCAGGGACGTCCACGTCTTTACAAGCTTCCACTGCGCAGCAATCTTCCTTCTCATCGTCGGGAACTCAGCAGACGACGACACTCTCTACGGCCACTACCTCGTCGACCACGATCTCATCGTCCTCGCAGTCAGCTTCAGCTACGTCGCAAAGCTATCTGATAATTGCCAAGCTCGGCACCGCATACGACGATTTTAAGAAGTTTGCATCCGAACTGGATGACACTGCGGGCTATTTTCCACCCCAGGAGATCACTTACTGCCCGTACTATTCGACTACGCTATCCGTCGAGAAGGCCAACGAACTCAACAATACTGAGCTGTATCCCTTTGTACAGGCGATCTTAGTCAACCGACTTGGAAATGGTAATGGAGACAGGCAGCTAACTGCTGTCATTCCTACAAGAGAGAAAATTAAACCCAGGGCTCCTCCAACCAACCAAGACGCATACCCAGCCAACCCTAATTTGTCTAAGAGGCAATGGACACTTCCAGATCGGAACATTAACCACCTCAACATGATATCACAGCAGAGTCCTGGTCCTGTTCCTGGAGCATACATCTTTGACCCTTCGCTTGGCAGGGGTACTACCATATATATCATTGATAGTGGCTACTCGCAGGGCGATGCAACAGATGTAAGAATCTAATCTCCTACAACGTTGAATGCCTCATACGGGGAGGCGTTATCTAATACTTGCAGGAATTCGCTCTTGACGACAACGATGCCCATGGCCGAGAACCGATCAGGACATACGTTGCTCCAAACCATCTCACATTGAATGGGGTTTCATCTAATTTACAAGCCCCGCAAGATATGGAGGACTATGGGGGTTTTGATGGTGTCTTTTACAAAGGTCATGGAACCCGTGTTGGAAGTGTAGCTGGTGGCCTCTCAGCCGGAGTGGCTTCACAGGCAGAGCTAGTTTTCGTCAAGACGATAAACGCGATCAAGAATCGGAATCCAGCGTCCCGGAGGCAATGGATACTTCAGGAAGTACAAGGTCATGCACTGTTCCATGCATTCAATTGGGCTATCACGGACGTTTTGGCGAAAGGCCGACAAGGAAAGGCTGTCATAAATCTGAGCATGGGTAAAGTGCACTACTCGATCTGCTAAGGTTGAATCTAACATACCACCTAGCTGTCACCCCGCTTGACGCAAGCTTCCATGACATAGTAAAGGTAATGCGGGTGGCGCTTGAGTACTGCGATCGTAACAACATCGCCCTTGTGGTGGGTGCAGGAAACGATGGGAACCCTGGGACTGATAACATGGACGAATTCTTCCCACTTAACCAGAATGCAGTAACGCTGCATGGTACTTCGGATAATAGTCTGATTACCGTGGGAGGGATTGAAGAAGATGGTACTCTTGCGATTTTCACCTCGCCACAGCTACCTAACGTCGGGGGTTCCATGACTTTGTACGCTCCATACCGGGCGACTTCCGCTACGACTCTCAAGAACATCCCTGGCAGCGCCTTTGCAGGTGCGGAAGGAACCAGTTTTTCCGCGGGTCAAGTAGTAGGTGTCTCTTTTCATCATACTTCCCTTCATGCTTTTCTGACATCATGCAGTCTGGACTAGTAGCATACTTTATGTCCTTAGATGCTGTTGCTGCGCAGCAGCCGGGAGGTCGCTTCACTGCTACGGGTATCAAACAGTACCTAGTCCGACATTCACGTCCCCTCCATCCGCTAGGACAATCTATTACAGACAGTAACAAACAGAAACTCGTGTACATGTCGAATCTTGTTCCCGGAAGCCTGAACGCTGCTTACAATAGAGCGCCTGAGGGGTATGTACTTCTCGATGATCGTTATTTGTTTCATACTCACTGTCCTGCTAGAATCTGTGCTGTAAAAGCTCAAAAACGAAGTATCGGCGTGCAGGCAAACATGCGACGTGCGAATGTACCTCAATCATCCCAGTCAGACGTTCCTACAGCAACACCATCCGGATTCCCCTCCCTGAACGCCACCGACGTCCCCATTATGTCAAGTGGCCATTTTGTAGGCACTGCCTTCGACTTCGGCGATTTCGGATTCGCTTGTACGCCTACCTCAGCGATATTTTCCTCCGCCTTTTCATCGACTTTCAATCCCTCTCAAACCTCTTTGGACTCCCCTGTAACGTCCACTGTAACATCATCTTCGTCGGTTTCTTCTATAGCTTCCTTCACTTCATTATCGACCTTCAGCACTTCGCAGTTTTCCACGGAGTCCTTGGATCTCTTCCCAACCCTACCAGTCTCCACAGCAACGGTCTCCGTAACCTCCAAATCTTCATCGACGGACGCTTCCTTTAGTACTTCTCAGAAATCCTTCAATCTCTTCACTATTTCGATATCCTCACCAACGGCGTCTAGTCCAGCTCCAGCTGCGACGAATGAGCCCTTTGAAGGGCCACTGGTCTGCAATGACAATACGATGAGCACTTGCCAGAGAGGTTCTGTCCAACCAAACTACGTTGATGAAGCTGCTTCAGACTTCTGCACCTCGCTGCAAAATACATGGATGGATTCCAATAATGCACGGCGTAATTTCCCGGAAGCGTATGGGCGAGTCAGCTACGAATTCTTCGTCGAGTGGGCTATGGGATGTGAACTCGAAACCCAACATCAATTTACTTCCGACCTTTCCGTTTGCAAGGATATATTCAAGGACACAGTATTCAACTGTAAAGACAATCAGGGTAGCGGTAAGTGTATGGATACTGCTCTTATTCTATGTGACTAAATCAAACCAGGCGGAAATCACACCGAGGGCTGTGTACAATTCGGATTCCAACCATTCTGCATGGATCTACCACCCTCAGCTACATCCACAACCCCGTCTGACAGCGCTCCAACTTCAACTCCTGCACCGCAAGTCACCGAAGGCGCTCTCGTCTGTAACCCCACTAGATGGAAATGTACAGACGGCGACATCCAAGAGTCCTATATCGATAAAACGATCGCGTTGTGGAAGAAGGACATCAACAAGAAACTCCAAGTACTCAGTCCGGATCCTAAGCATGGCCGTGCTTTCATGAGCTACACCGACGGTTACTCAAATGCAATGTATGTCTTCAACGCCAACTGGACAGAAGGCTGCACGGCTGAGCCCAGCCACGATGTGTATGGCGGAGACTTCGACAATATCTTGAAGTCTCTGTGGAAGGACTGCACAGGTAATGGGGGCGCCGGTGGGACATGGACGGAGGGCTGTGCTTCGTACGGATTTGAGCCTTACTGCGAGGGCTATTTTTGAACCTCTCTAATTTCAGAGATGTGGCCGAGGTCCGATTTGGAGACCAGGTGTAAAGCAAGATTCTCATGACATTCAACGCGACGCACAGAAGGAAGTTTTCAAACATCATTCCATTTCTCATTATACCATGTTTTCGACCAATCCCTATTTAGAGCCCTAAGTTCCCCAACCTTTTATAATAGACTCAAAATTCATGACTCTTAAGTTCAACATCATACATGACGAGGACATTCGGCGGATGCGAGGGGTGTGTTTTGTTTGCCTTTACTATTGTTTTGCATGATCTAGAGTTGGGGGTGGACGGCGCGTGAGTGGGAACTCTATTCTGGAGGTATAGACTATATTCTGAACAGCTTTGGATACAAGTATTTAACCATATTTTGTCAAAGAAGATCTTACCATCTCAATAAGGTTAGAAGATCACGTGAAGCGTGGACCGGCCGCGTCTCGCGTCGAGATAGCGGCCCCACCTCGCAAGGCTGCACCTCTTCACCTCATCCAGGGCATCTTCGCTAGCCTTCTACCTCATCTCAAACACATTAGAGATAAGCATGAGTACTTAATACAATCCCTTTCATATTCCAACGGCCACTATCATCAGAGACTCTATTCTATCCCACGTAAGCACCCTTGACTTGCCAAGGCTGTAGTATTCTAATGGCACTCTAGGCATCAACCTCCTCTTGCGGGACGCATTCGAGATATAGGACCTACGCAACCCTTTGACTACATCCTTCATTCTACTTAATCAAGATCAACTCGGCACAGCTGCTGAGAGTTCGCAACCAACTCTCTCGACGTTGACTATACAAGCAAACATGGAGGTCATGGAGGGGAACAATGAGCCCTTCAGCCCTGGAAAACGCAAGAGAACTGGATCAGCGTCTAGCGAGACGGTTGGGCTGCCTGATCGTGTGAAACGCGAGAGGTCAATGTCGAGCGAGAGCTTTGAGGTGATTGAACACCAGACCAGCCCGACGGTCTTCAACGAGAACGCTAAGCCAGTCGAATCAGAGGCCCATCCCAACAACTCGGCTGCTATTGAAACTGAGGTTTCCAACCTAATCATCCCAGGCGATGGCGGCCCAATCGATTTCACCTCAAACCCGACGAGGGTTACGACCGAGAGCAATGAGAGCACCATGACGCCAAAAGAGCGTGAAGAGAAACGCACGAAGGAGAGTTCGTATCCCTACGCGCATGCTATGCATAAAGGAACGCGATACTAAATTTTGCAGTACTCTACCTTCGACATCGATTGCAGAAGGGCTTTATCAGTCGTGATGGGCTGAAAGAAGAGGAGATGGCTTCTATGTCTGAATATCTCAAACACCTAGAGAGTCGCAAGAGCCTTGAAGCTGAAATTTTAAAGGCGACAAAAATCCACAAGGTTCTAAAGGCTATCCTCAAGTTGAACTCTATCCCTAAGGAGGAAGAGTTCAACTTCAAGCAACGTATGGCGGACCTACTAGCACAGTGGAACTCAGCGATATTGTCTGTGGAACCACCCTCACAAGCTCCTGTAGAGAACCATCAGAGGGAACCGGAATCATCTCTTCTGGGCGAACGGATGGATGTCGATGTCCAGCACAGAGACGAGCCCACAGCCAGCGATCATGCAATACACCAAGAGCAACAATCGATACTTGTTGTCTTTGATTCGGCGGGCGATCAAGAACTAATAATTCGCGACAAGGCCTGGGAGGCGGACAAGCGCGTGCTCGTCTCCTCGTCTCGTCTCCGCAAGATTAGTCCGTTCTGGGAATCCCTCCTGCAGCATGCTACCATAAAGCCCGTATTAAACGGAGAAGGATATTCCTGGGAGTTAATCCTTTTGTTGTTGCATATTGCGCATGGCAACACGCACCATGTTCCTGAACGGCTTCCTCTCGACAAGATCTGGGATGCTGCCTTTCTCTCCGTCGAATACGACGCTGTTGAATTGATGAGGCCGTTTCTCCGCAATTGGGCCTGGCCAAGAATGCCAGTTGCGGTGAGCGATGCAGGTAAATACCTGAAATGGCTGCTCTTCGCCTGGGTTCTCGGCTATCAAGACACTTTTGAAGCTGTAACCCGGAGCATGGCGATGACATTTCGACCAGATGCTGAAGACATGATCGCTGGAGAGTTTAATACCAAAGTAAAACTGCAAAAGGCATGCCGCATCATCTTAGGTAAGAGACCCTCCACATTTCACCCTTGCCGTCTCACGATCTCATCCCTGATTTTTTTCTTCTCAACATTCCTAACCACCACATTCTAGACAACGTGAGCCGGATCCGCTCAGGCATCATCCAAGAGATAATCACCGTATGCCACTGGTACGTTGAGCGCCTATCCGGAAATTGCTGCACGGCGGACCCTCCTTCCCGATCTTGCGAATCCCTAGCGCTTGGATCTATAATCAAGGGTCTAAGTTCGGTGGATCCTCCATTATGGCCTCAGCGCCCAGATCCTCAACACCTTACGCTAAGCGTCCACGACCTCATCCGAAAGCTCGGAGACGTCGTGATCCTAACCGGACACGAGGAGGACTGCGACTACAATATGTACTTCCATGAAGCGCTGGCACTCTGTCTAGGCTCCAACAACAGAATCGGCGTGGTGACCAGGCTGGTAGCGTCAGTCTCCGGCTTCGTCACCCTCGAAGACGAGCACAAGGCCCATTTCAATAGCTTCAGCCTTAAAGCATCCGATTTAGATCCGCTGATCTGGAAGAGCAACGCCGTTGCGACGATGGGCTTTGTAGAGCGGGACGCGATTGGACTGGTTTATGAAATGCGTTACGGCGAGATGCGACTCTGTTTCGCTGACGATGAAACGTGGGGCTATGACAGTGAAGAAGAAAAAGGGTGGGACGAGGAAGATGGCGAGGAGGGTGATGACGAAATGGACACCGACGGTAAGGACGATGCCGATGGGAACGGTGGCAACAAGGATGATGCCGATGGGAACGGCGGCGAGGAGGAGGACCCTCATTGGGATTCCGACTACTATTCGGTCACGGAGCCCGAGGAGGAGTTCTTGGCAACGGACGAAGAGAGCGACTATGCTCCTAATAGTCCTGTGTGGAAATAGTCCGGTGAGGTTGAGCTGTGATTAGGTGGAGTGGATGGCTGAGACACATCCCTCAGTAGGTATGTCTCCAAAGTTGATCTTTCGAAGAGGATTTTCGGATCGAGTCTGGCGTTTTTATTTCGATTGGATTAGGTTTCTTAGACTGGACACAGTCTTTATAAGCGTCCACAAATGGATCACTTACGAATTATGACGTCCTATAGCACTTTCGGTTAAATTTCGAATCTATATAACTAGGCCTCCGGAGATGTCCCAAGGTCAGTCGTAGTCAGAAGGAAATAATAGTATAGAAAAATTCATCTGGGTATTGGATTAAGCATATCAACGTCCCAACTCTACCACGCCAACCACCACCAGAACCAAAACAACTATCATACAAAACCTCGCCTCCGAAATCCTTTACTAGCACCATGCAAAATAAAAAAAGGACTAGGAGAACACGCTTCCCTCGCTCCCAGCAAAACAAGTAGCCACCTCCCAACTCTCCAAATCCCCCCTAGCCTCCCCAATTGAAAAGAACCACCATCACCCAATCCGCCAACCTAACTCGTCACCCGCCGAATCCAAAACGCACTCTCCATCCCCGGATCCTCCCTCTCCCTCTTCTTCCACGCCCGATGCAACTTCAACCCCACCTCATGCTCCTCCTGCTTGATCTCATCTAGCTCCTTCACAAACTCCGCCTTCCGGACGTCCGCCTCCCGCACCTTCCTGTAATCCGTCATGAGCGGGTTCTGGGGTTGTGTCGCATTCAGATCCGCGATCAGCCGCGCGACGTTCTGCCGCCGTACGCGCAGGTCGTCTTGTTGTGCTTCGAGGGAGGAGATGTGGTCTTGAGATTCGAGGGAGGGGGGCGGGAGGGGGAGGGCCTTCGAGTTGCGGTCGACTGTGTAGGCGCTTGACATCGAGACGACGCGAGCGGCGTGGGTGGGTGTGCCAGGTGGGAGGGGTTTGCGGGGAGTTGGGGTCGAGACGGTGGAGGCGGAGGGAACGACGGGACGGCGGCGATTGAGGATGGGAGATGCCGCGGGAGCGGGTGTGGGCGTTGATGTAGCGATGGAAGATTTCGGCATTGGGGGTGGGGGAGAGGGAGGCGGACTATTCTGGTATGTAGTGTTGGTCGCGTAGGTAGTCCAGCTGAAGCGGCTGGTGGGGACTTTTTCGTCCTGGTTGAAGCGGGCGGAGTAGTTGCTGTCGATGGATTTGCGCTGGATCTTTGACTTTGGGGGTCCGGATGACTGTTGCGTTGAGGGAGGGTCTTTTACCGCTAAAGGGGTTAGTGTGTATGGGTTGATGCCTTGATCTTGAGGTCGATTATTTGGCGTTATCGGATTGGAATACGGATAAGTGTTCTGGTAATTTGGAGAAGTTGGGGATGCGACGCTTCTTGGGGGACTATTTCTCCCGACTTTGAGAGGTACGGTCGGTTTGATGGGGTCGTCATGCAGGTCGCCTCCGGATGAGACTTGCGACGTATCAGCCCCCATTGGTATTCTCCGTACGGTCTCCGCGGCCGAGGATGGAGTGCTCTGATCAGATTCACCTGCTATGCCGGGACTTGGTTTTCGGTGATCGCGAGGAGGTATTGTAAGAGGATGTTTTGTGCGTTTGTCCGCCAGCGGTTGCACTATCGCAGTGCGCCCGCTTGCGCCTCGCCACTCCTCCCGTGGCTTTGTCTCAACACTTAAGGGGTTCGAGTTGAACCGCGAGGTATTCTGCCTTTTAGAATTGCCAGCCCCGCCGGTTACCGATACGCGATAGCCCATGTTTGGGTTGGCGGACGGATGATCGTACGCGAAATGACCTGGGACGACCTGCGCGGGCTTTCCAGCATGACTTGATGTTGGTTCACCTGTTAATTCATCCCAGTGCGTGGTTTCAGACGCGGTTCGGCCTCGTCCAATATTGGACATTGGTTGTTTTCCCCGACCGGTAGTCGCTTTCCGTAAAACTGGAATGTGGCTTCCTCGAGGCTGAGTCTTCTGATTTACTACATCGTCGCGTACTGGAGAGATGTCTCGACTCGCAGGCAATCCGCGAGGCTGCTGTCCAGGTCCCATTTCAGGAGAGCTAGGTGGCGAGACATCCGAATATTTGGCAGGCGGGTTGTTTTCGGACCAGTCGTAATTCATTTCCGGTGAAGGCTGTGAGTAAACGGATGAAGCTGTAGGCGCACTGGAATACCGATTGTTGCGTGAGCTATTGGGCGCTAAGGTTTGGCTATTATTTGTCAGAGTCTATCTATGCTACTCAAGTCTTTTGAACTTACAAGGGTAATGATGGGAGTTGTGTGGCGACGTCGCCCCCCCCATAGCCAGGTTGTAGATGTTGCGGAGAAGTCGGACTGTTGAGGTCGGAGACATTTGCGAAACGGTCCAGGGACTTCTCGTCGTAGGTGGTTTCGATCAAGACGGGGTTGCCAATCTGCTTCCCTGGCTTCTCCTTTACATGGCCTTGTAATCTTTTCCACATGATGACGGTGTGCACTCCGGTATGGATGAATCTGGAAAGGAATTGATATTAGTACAAAGCTTCGATGAAGAACAAAATGTCAGGAACAAGATAGAGACATCCGAAAGATAGAAGGCTTAAATATGAAACGCATAAGGGAAGTAAAGAGCAGGCATTCATCGGCGATATTCCCGAAAAGGTCAGCTGGAGGCTGTGCACTGGGCATATGCCATACTAGTGCGGATCGCTCCATGGGGCTGAAATCCAACTGGCGTATAACGGATGGACATAAGGGACCAATACATGTGACATACGAGACACGTAGATTTTGATTTGGGAAATGATGGTAGATGCAGGACTAGAAGTGCCAAGCTCCATGGGAGCAGCTGAAGTGCCCTCCAGGTGTGATACGTAGCATCACCCCACTAAACAGTAGGAACATCTTTGGAGACGCGCCCAAGTATCTAAGTGGACTGTTGACCTTCGTGGAGCGTCCGGAGGGGTGTTGAAACTGATCCTGAGTGATCGACGGAAGCCTGGAATTCGACGCAAAACGCGCCAAAGACTGAACTTGATAGAAGTAAAAGTATGCTTACCGTATGCAGCAAAGTGGCCTCCAAAAAGCCGCCTGGGCAGGTAACTTTGCGCTGAAGAATAGAAGTCGATGTTGCGCCGGCGACGGTGTTCGGAAGAGAAAGGAGTGTGAGAAGGAAAAGACACGAAGCACGCACGCCGGTGAAGGATGAGCGGCGTCTGACGGGAAGACGCGCTGGACGTATTTATTTTGAGGCGCAGCAGTGGAGCGTTGCTCGTGTCTTCCTGTGCTCCCGGCAGCCCAGCTGTAGGTCAGAGGTACTCCCTGGCGCGCGGAACGGTTCGATCAAAGAAGGTGGAATATTTCCTCCAGGAGCTGTTGGATAAAGGGAGCCGAAGACAGATCAACAGCGTATCCAATTAAAGCGGCCGGGAGGCTGCGATGATTGCTGTTTGCTGCACGGTTTCAAGCACAGGGCGGGTGTTTCAGAAAGATTCAAGGCGCGTACCGCGTTGGTTGACGCAGATTCAAGCTTATGGAAGAGCCGCAAATTGGACAGTCCTGCGCGCTGGGGCTGGATTATAACATTTCGTTAGTGCGTCTGGACTCGATGAAGCGATGCTGCCGTTGAATATCAAGTTGCGCCCGACCAAAGACCGGATATAGAATACGGGACGCTGAAGTTACGATAGAATCACGGGCGCCTCTTGGTATCCTCTGAGTGTCCGTGCAAAGGCGAAGGAGTGAAGTGGGTATGATTCGGACAATGCTGAGCTTCCGATCCGATCCGGTTAGTTGTGTTCTACCTAGGTATTGACGGGCTTGGGAAAATGCAGGGTGTTGTTTTGGAGGGGGGTTCGTCATTTTTATGCGGAGCAACCCCGCCGGCTTCAACTTCAGAGCTTCCGGAATCCACGACAACACTTGAACACTCCCACCCCAAGCTGTTCGAAGAGCTATACCAAGATGGCAGACAGTAAGTCAAACCACCATACACAGGGATCATAACTAACTCTGATAGCCACAGCATCCACCCCGCCTCCGGCAGCAGAAGCGTAAGCACCCCCGCCACCCTCCTCCCCCAAAAACCTCACCTAACAAGCCCCTCAGAACCTCCGCCCTAACCCCCATCAACATCGTCCTCCTCTCCCTCTTCATCTTCCTCATCTACATGCGCCTGAAGCCCGCCGCGCCCCAAACCCTCCCCCGGGCCCCCCCGCCAACAGTCTTCCGGACCTTTACCCCGCCGACGCTCCTCCCTTACAACGGCCTCAACGGCATGCCCATCTACTTCGCCGTGCGTGGCCGCGTCTTCGACGTCACGTCCGGCCGCAACTTCTACGGCCCCGGCGGGCCCTATGCCAATTTCGCCGGCCGGGATGCTAGCCGAGGTCTTGCGTGCGGCAGCTTCGATGAGGAGATGCTGACGAAGGACTTGGAGGGCCCGTTGGATAAGCTTGATGATCTTGGGGATGAGGAGATGGAGGCGCTGCAGGGGTGGGAGGAGCGGTTCTCGGAGAAGTATCTGGTGGTGGGCAAGATCGTGCCGGTTGGGAGTGAGGAGGCGACCTAGGGGACGTGAGGGTAAGGGAGGATGCCTAAGAGACTAGGAAACTAGGAGACTAGGACAGAGCAAGATATACTTCGGGGTCTTCGTGTGGTGTCGATGCTTTGCAATGATTGTAAGATGGGGGTGTTCGGGGCATGAGCCTGCGATTCTGGTTTAGATTTCTGGGTTCAATCTGAAAAGTGCTCTCTTTCGAAACAGCTAATACCGTCGTGACACTTCTAAGACTTCTGCATTCCTAACTATAATGACTTGCTAGTTACTAGCACTTGTAAAAGCCTCAAAGTGGACCGAGTAGGTAGGAAATGATGCGTCACGTGATACCATCTACAGTCATTATTACATCGTCAAATACTAATCTGAAAGCTATCTGTTTCAGATGCTCGTAGACCACGCGGTATGAGGTAGCCCAGAAAGTTAACTTCGAGTTCATTCAGATCTCGAAAAGACATTGAAGCACTTCTAACAGTGGCTTGCAGGCAATATCATGGATTTCTTAACAAGCCAGTTATGAGCTCCTTGCTCATTTATTTTATCTACCTGTCTAAGTAGAAACCTTCATGAAGCAATCATGAATTGGATGCCGTAACCTTCATGAATTGAGTTTCTTACGCTCCTCCTATCGAAGTAAGCGCAAGACTTTGATGAGATCCGCCGTGACACCCATAGCCGTAACTTCGCCGCCTGCACCAGCCCCTTGAATGATTAAGGGGTTGTCGCCATAGCGCTTCGTATAGAAGCTGATGATGTTGTCGCTTCCCTTCAGTGCCGCAATAGGATGGGAAGGATCGAAATTCTCTAGCCCGACCTTAACCTTGTTCTTCGCGACATCGACGCTTCCTACAAACCTCACGACCTTGCCTTCGGACGCAGCCCCCTTTTTCAGCTCTTCCATTTTGCCATCGAATTCGCCGAGGCGCTGCAAGAACTCGTCGCCGCTCTTGCAGCCTTCAAGCTCTGACGGGATCAGGCTCTGGACAGGGAATGAGGTAGAACTCTCCACTGGCAGTCCGACCAACCTCGCCAGGATGGTCAACTTTCGCGCAACATCCTGCCCATTCAAGTCATCTCTTGGGTCCGGCTCAGTGTACCCCAATTCCTTCGCCTTCTTGACCTCGGCCGAGAAGGAGCTACCTCCGCCACCGACAGGCATGAAGCTGTTGAACAGGAAGCTCATAGTGCCCGAGAACACGCCCTCGATCCTGTACACCTCGTCGCCCGTCTCAACAAGCTCTTTAAGTGTGGAGATGACGGGCAGTCCGGCTCCAACGCTGCTCTCGTGGAACACGTACCCGCCGATCCCGCTGCCATTAGCTGCGGCCCCGAAGATGTTTTGCCATAGCTCGTAGCTACCCGAGAACGCCTTCTTGTTCGGCGTCACGATGTTGATGCCCTTCTTCAAGAACAGCGGGTAGGCCTCTGCGAGGGTCTCATTGCTTGTGTTGTCTACCAACACCACCTTGTTTGGTGCTTTAGAGAGGTACTCGGCAAGATCGGAGAATGAGGGAGGCGTGGTGGTGGAAGCAGCGAGGTCCTTCTCCCAGCTGTCGAGGTGAATGGGGTGATAATCGGTGCTGGAGATGAACTTTTTGCTTGTAGAGAGAACTATAGTGGAGAGGTATATCGGCGAAGAGGCGTCCTGGCAGAGCTTGGACCCCAGGAAGTGGAGTTGGGAGAGGAAGGTTCGGCCGACGCCGCCCGTGCCTGTGAATGAGGTTGTCAGATGTTTGAGGTTGATTTGAAATACAGAAATCGCAGCAGGTGAGAGCATGTAGCTATATAAGAACTAGGGACATGGTGATACTGAAGAAAGGGGCTTTACCTATGACTGCAATAAATACTTGTTTTGGGTGAAACATGGTGAAGTTGTTGACAAGTGAAAAGTCAGGCCTCAATTGCCTTTAATACTTCTCTATTGAATGATCTACACACGCAGATGACGTACACAGCAAAGTAGAAAGCTTAGATGGCTGTGATGGTGTTTTATTTTCGGTGTGGGGTGACCTTTTTCAAACCCCGCTACGCCGTCCTCGGAGGTGGAAAAGAAAGGCTCCGCAACAAATCCCCCAAATCCCGCACCTCGAGCTTCGGGCAACCACTGGTCGTCGCCGGCCGACCTCAAACAACACCAACCCACATCACGCCCTTATCTAGGACCCCACGATGACGAGCAAGGACTCCTCGCTCTACGGCGTCCGGCCAAAGGGCAGGGCCACTGCAAAAGAAATATCCTCGTCGAGCTCCCTCGCCTTTACGTCACAGCTCTCCACGCTGATCGCCACCTCAAATACCTCAACCAAGCCAGGCGCTGGCCGTCCACGACCCAAGAAAGCCGACATCTTTTCAACACACAACAAGGGCGTGAACAAGCGCGCGCTGAAGGACCTCGACGATGCCGACTTCGAACAGAAACATAGCACTTCCAGCGCCCCACTTGATGACTCAACATGGCACCGCTCGAAGAGGAAGATGGAAGAGAAAGCCCGAATCTACGCGGCCTTGAAGCGCGGGGATATCGAGGACCTAGAAGACAACCATCTCGTGGACTTCGACACGAAGATTGTAGAGGCAGGGGAGAGGGGCGAGGTGGACAAGGACACATCCTCTGACGATGGGGCCGACAGCGAAGACGAGGAACTCGTAGAATACACCGACGAGTTCGGCCGCACACGACGTGGTACGCGGACTCAGATGATAATCAATGAGAGACGCAAGCAGATGTTGGAGGCGGACACGCCGGACAGGTTTACAGCGAGGCCGATGGCACCAGCGAACATCATATACGGGGATACGATTCAAACTGCGGCATTCAATCCGGATGAGACGATTGCGCAGCAGATGGCTTCACTGGCAGCGAAGAGGGATAAAGAGTTGACGCCGCCGCCAGCGGAGCACTTTGACAGCCGGAAGGAGATTAGGACGAAGGGTGTGGGTTTCTTCCAATTTTCAGCGGATGAGGCGACGAGGAAGAAGGAGATGGCTGCTCTGGAAAAGGAACGGGAGGACACGGAACGAAGTCGAAGGGAGAGGGAGAAGAGGAAGGAAGAGCGGAAGAAACAGGTCGAGGAGAGGAAGAAGATCATCCAGGATAAGCGTGGGAAGGCTCAGGCGAACAGGTTCCTTGCGGATCTCTCTGAAGAGCTGTTCAAGGGAGAGTAGGGGATCGGCTTTCAGATGGCATAAGGCGTTGCAAAAACTACCAAGATACCCAATCAACATGATTTCTCTTTTCTAGCGATGGTCCATATGGACGCATAATATCCAATAATATCACTGGACACTCTTAGTCGCTTTCTTGTCTTTCTCGAGCGCTGGCATAGCGTATCTCTTCACTATCCTCTCTCTCCTCCAGCTAGGTCTGTCCTCCAGCTAGGTCTGTTCTCCATCCATGCTCTCACTTCCTCACCTCTTCATAAACCATTAAGCAGAGCTGCTTACAACAAATTGTAGCCATCTTGCGCTTCGTGCAACTACTTTCGAAGCAGGAAGTCCTCGAATGAGAGATTGACGACCAAGACTCGTCGAGGTGCTCATCACATCTGCAAACTCCACAATGTGTGGGTAATACGAGACAAGGGGTACAATAGAAGAATAAAGAATCCCTCGATCAGACCAAGGAGCACAACGTGCTATATTGCCACCTTGAAACAAAGTATTGTTCACGTTAACCTCCCGAAACACGACTGCTCTTGTAAATGGGCGAACCTCGTTCTTCCGCTGGACACTTCTTCTAATCACTAGATCATTGAAATGCATTTCCACCTCTGCCACAAGGACGGGAAGCCTGACCCCAGCGAACAAGAATCTGAAACCGAAAGGGCTAGACATATGAAGGAACAAATTAGTGTCCTCAAACTGCAAACCGACCGAAACGGACAAGCCTCCGAAACGGACCCGGTTAGAAATGAGAGGGAACGACTTCGTCAAATTAAACTCCAGGAATGTCGCGACCTATGCGATGATTTACGCAAAGAAGTCAGTGCTCAAAGAATGATGGACCGCAAGTTTTACCCCGGGATGAAATACCAGGTCGAGACTAGCAAGCGTCAAGCCCGGATCACCCAATTTCTCCAAATGACCGAGAAAGAAAGGGAAACAATGTCAGTAACTTAGGAAATCTCAATAGGTATATTATTCTAGGGAATCGCCTTCGGTCACTGAACCAGTCGGAGAGAAGGTTCAAGGACCCGCCATTTAAGATAAAGACCAGATTCTACGAAATTGAATGGGATTGGCCGGCGACGAGGCTTCAAAGCCCACCTCATAGCCCGAATGGTCCATCCAGGAAATCTTTCAGTGCTCCGAAGGAGGTGGGCGTCAATAACGTGCGTAGTCCGCTTAAAAGCACCCACACTCATCAGCTGGAAATGAGCAAAATACAAACTACCACCACGTCTGAGATAGGACGACCACAGAAGCGTGGGAAGTCATGAAACGCACCTTGGGATACGTTCGGCTCTGGTAAGCCAGCTCATTAATTGAACAGTCTCTCAATCCAATCAATACCTACTTCTTTCATGTCTTCTCCACACATCTCTCGAACTTAGTGATACCCGCGTCGTTCTTTTCGAACATCACTCTATCTCCCCGGTATGCATTGTTGAGCCCCATGTAGAATATCGTATATTGAACAGAGAACATTGTCTCGCATCTCCTTCGTTACATAAAAGGCTTTGGAGGGACGCAAGATTCCTCTTTCTCAACACACTCTTTCTGACCAAATCCTGAAAGCCCACAAAATGCCTAACTACATCAGTCAGCCATATCGCACGATCATAAAAGTGCCCCCGATCTGGGCCAACTACGAGCCGGAGCAAAGACGTCTTGCCAAACTTGACGCACTCCGGGAACTATGCGATGAGCTTCGCCGGGACGCCAGTGTACAGAATTGGTTCATTCTGATACTCGATGACGAAGGCAGCATGACAACAGAGTACCTTCGCTACCGCGTCGTAATCAACAAAATACAGTTCATGGCTGCTTCCATAGCTGTGGATGTTGACCTGAACGGACACTTGATGGACGAAAGAGCTCTGAACATGCATCTGCGTATGATCGAGCGCTGGGTTTCTAAGAACGAGTCGGAAAGAGAGTTTCAGTATGAGCCGTGCGATATCAGGGTCGAGTTTGATCAGGTTAGGTGGGATCAGCCGGCTACGAGGATTGAAAGTCCACCAGTAAGTCCTAAGTCGCAGCGTCCTCTAAAGAACTGGTCGAGTGTCAAACACACTAACGTCGAATGCCTCGAGGGTAAGGATGTTAAGGGCTTCCTTTCTAGAAACATTGAAGGGCATGGCAAGAACGCAACGTCATCGAATACCACACTCGGTCGCTCAAGACGAAACGCAGTTGAAAGTCGAGATATGTCAGAGGCCCCTTGAGATCATTCTAGCGAACAGGCTGGAAGATTCAAGATGATCCCATGGTAGCGGCACCTCGCTCGTCAGCTCAACCTTTCTCTACTGATTTCTGGTAAGCTACGTTTCCTGTAGACCCGAATAAATATCATCAACAGCACACTATGATTACCCTTAAACTTTTCTCTATGGCCTCAACGTTGTTTGAATATACATGTAAGTCACATCATCGGATTTTCCATATCTCCGCCTCCAGTAAGAGCAACCTACTGGTATGAATTTCTCGAAATTGTTAGTCATTACCTCATATTCTTCTCATATGCGTTGTTAGTCCACAACGTAGCATACTTCAGCTGTAAGACCCAACATAGTCCATTGTGTTGCGTGCAATTCTCTTGTATAAATTCTTCTATAAACGTGTGGAGCATGGTCTTTCTCCACACGCATTCTCTCACTGATCACCAAAAGCACGGAAAAGATCATTTTCACACTTACAACAACAACACTGCCACCGGGTCCGGAAAGAACGATTACAACATTATCACAAAACATGCCGCCCCATCTTCCTCCCCAGAGTGAGGAGTCCGATCAAGAATTCTCGCAGACATCCGATCAAAATAACTATGAAGTATCCGATTCGCAATCCGATCAAGAATTCTCTCAAGACCTCGATCTGGAAATCCGCCAAACCAAACGCTCCACCCTCCGCGCCCTCTGCGACGAACTCTACAACGACATGTTAATCCAGCGCACGCTCATTAAACTCCACGAAACTAAGTTCAAATCTGGCAAAGCCTTTGAAAAGCACTGCGACAAGACGATCGAGCAATGGTACATCACTGCTGATTTCATCCGGCATGTTAAGGATGAAGGAGATCTCATGGATGAGGATGAGCTGGATGATGATCTAGCGAAGGGTGAGGGGTTGAGGATGAAGAATAAGTCCAATAGTATGGTGATTCAGCACCACAGCCGACCCACCATACCGAAGCACATACTCTTCAGGGAGCGGGGGCCATCTAGCCATCGAATCCGGAAAAGGTCGTGGGATGATCGCAGGGCTAAGTTCGTCTCTCGTTTACGCCGACCAAAATTCGGCCACGAGAGTGATCCGATTCGGACGCTCGGCGCAGTGCGCGGCAAGGAATCGATAGCTGCTGCTTCCAGTTCGTGAAGCTGCTATTCGTGAGAGACGAAGAACTTACCGCTTAGCTAAGTAGTAACCTTGGAAATCAGATCATGGGCTCATACTTTGTGTAGATTAGGCTAGATGCCTTTAATAATCAACTGATTGCAATTAAACCCGCGCTATTTACCTAGTGATATCTACTTTAGTCCTTGATGAATGAATCAAAGTATCGAAAGATCAACTAATGTCCATCAACGCGTGCCGAGAAGCCCACCGTGCCGAGAAATTTGAGGGGTACTTATTAGAACCTCGCTACGATGCTGGGAAGTTATTATCAGCCTGGTGTCCGCTGTGGCGCGGAGTTTCATGCAAGGAAGGTTGGTACCTCTAATACAAGCGATCACTAATCTGGGCTAGTGGAGTCATCAGGGTGTAATTTACTTAATCGGCTATTGAACCTGTAGCTGGAGGGTCTTGGCAAGCGGGCCAACCTCAGCCCCAGCCTTGCAGCTATCTGAGGACACCTACAGAATCGCCACCTCACAAGGTCATGGCCGGAGCGTGTCGGCCATCCTCACTGCTAGCCTCATCGGAGGCGTTCGTCTGCCTTTGACGAGGCTTAAGTGGTAAGTCTTCAACACGTGCTTCTTTTTTGAGCCTTAGCTGTATATTCATATTGATCCCTGGCCTTCTATAAAATAGAGAGAATAACTATATATAGGATAGTAATTTAAACCAATATAACGCCCTTAAGCCTTAGGATATATTAAGCTAAATTTTGCATATTCACACCCTTCCTATTCCAACACCAATGCCAATTGTGTCCCTTGACACCGCCGAGCATAACGGCCGATACTCTGAGGGCAGCCACATCAAGTTTTCTGAAGTATACGTTATTTATACACTATCCGCGCTAAGAGCAAGGCCTTGATACTAAGGACTGTAAGGCTCCGAAATAGTTGGAAGTATAACTGAACCTGACAGAGCACTGATGTTGATAGTGCTAATATTTGTGTGAAGATAGGAGTTAATTAATGTCAAATGAGATCCGGTTAAGTGCCTTACCAATACGAAGCGTGTGGAGGCACTCGCAGCTGCCGGCGTCCCATATCCTGACAGTGCGGTCGAACGACGCCGACGGCAGCCTGGTCGAGTCGTGGGAGAAGGCCACTGACCATACCCGAGATTCAACCCCAAAGCCCTCACCCCTCTCGGTCAGACCCTAACATGGAGTAGGGTGGTTCGCATAAAGTAAGGTAAACAACAGAAGCGCTATGCCTTGTAGTATCTTAGGTGGTCAGATGCCAAGATATCAAGTAAAGGCTTTGGAGTGGTCGTAAACCACATCAATGCGCAATAATACACAGAAAGTCGATGTCGTGTTACAAATGTATTCGACGAGAAGCCTTTTCGCTTAAGCTTGGAGCTTCAACAGCTATTTAATGGGCAATAGTACTTTCGCTGCTGCCTTCAGCTTGCACTGCCCCGCTTGCCCAACACTCTGCAATTTCATTGCTCTGGCGAGCCTAACGCTCACCTTTTAACTTCGTCAATACTTCCTTCTATCTATTCTTTCATCGATCTTATCCTGAGGGAATGAGAAATGAGTACATCCGCTCCCCAACTGCGCAAGCCATAGACCAAGACTCTGGAGGATATAGCCCGATCTTCTTCGGATATTTACAAAACTTTCAACATGCCAAACACGCGCACAAGAGGAAAGAAATTGCAAATTGCTAGTAAAGAACCGCCTAGTAAGAGCCGCAAGACCCAAGGAGCTACCAGAAACTCGTCGCGGGAGCTATTCACATACGACAAGCTTAGTTTCGAGAGAGGCTCTATTCGCGTCATTGTGGTTCTTCCAGATCTGCCATCGGACGGCTTCGTGCAGTGTCATCTACAGCACATCACGTTCTTTCATGATTTCACCTGTCTGTCATATACGTGGGGTCAAAGAACAAAGCTGTACAATGTCCTGCTAAAAGGAAAAAATTCTCTGTGCGCAGAAATCTGCAGAAATTTCTAGAGGTACGTATAATGTAATATGTTCCTTTCGCAGAGTGCTCCGAGAAATAGGAGGATACCACTTTTACAGAAGTGTTCGTCCAGTGAGGTGTCAAATAGATCTGACAGTGTACACTATGTCCGGACTTGAGCCGTCTTGTCGCTGAACAACCACAAGAAATTTATATACAGAACCCTTTACTTTTTGGTAACATGATTGCTTCATATCTAGGTGGCCAGGGAAAAATACAACGGCAGATGGCTATGGATCGATGCCATATGTATCAACCAGGAGGACACCAATGGAAGAAACTGCCAAGTTCAACAAATGGGAGATATATACTGGGAAGCTACCCAAGTGCTTTCCTGGCTCGGAACCAACAGACACACTTCCTGGTTTCTAAAAACTATTCGCGAGAACCCGGGTGTTGATAGGTCACAAATAATAACGTATGCCGATGGATCCCAGTCGTCTCTAAGAAGTCTCGCCGAATTTTTTCCTTGCGAACGAATATTGGAAGCGCGCATGGATCACGCAAGAGATAGTAAAGGCTCGCAAGATTATTCTCATCTCAGGCCGAGAACAGTTGGAGTTCGCCAGTGTGTCAGAGTACCTTCGGCTCAAGGAAAACATCCCGAATCAGCAATTGAGGCGAATGGGCCTGGCAAGCCTTATAATTCTATTTCACGAGCGGCTTTGTGCAAACCCGGTGGATCGAATATACTCACTATCATCGCTGTGCCGCGAGAAGATAAAAGTAGATTATACACTGTCAAGCGGAGAGGTGTTCGAACAAACTCTGAAGTCGTGTCAAGACTCACTTTGTCTCTGCACGGTATACATCATTCAAAAAGCTCTTGAGCTTGACCTGGAAAAGTTACCTAAGTCCACGTTCTCCGAATTTCGACTGCAGCAATTTTCGAGGCATTTTGATGATTGCGGTGATTATTTGCCGGGAGGTCCGTCTCCAATCAAGTTGAAGGGCTTCTACTTCTGCCTGTCATCAGTCTGTACAAAAACGAAAGCGCATTTGTTTTGCCGGGAATCAGCGACACAGACTGGAGTTGTTGAAGCCTATGTAACTAAGAAGGGGAGTGATAGCATGAAGCACGAATATCTCGGCACAGAAATATCTGTTGAGCGAGCTGGGGAAGACTCATTTTGTCATTTGCGCGTAAGTATGCGGACATTGGTGTTACTATCTCGACAAATTGACCCATCCTGCATTGCATCACACGGACAGCATTTAAGCCTCTGCGACAAGTTGGCATCCAGCACTACGTTTTATGGTCTACGTGGCAGCTGGATGCACCCCCTAGTGCGTAAGAACTAGTGTATTTGATACTGTACTAGAACGCTACTGCTACGCTGCTGCTACGCTCCTGTCACTTCTCCTTGTTTCACCATGTTCCACTCCTACCGTCTTCCAACTATATAGCCACTCGCTAGAACCTCAATACAACTCATGTCTCCCTCACTGATTCTCCCTTCCTACGCCAGCTACCACTACGGGGATATATGGGCTTGGACGAGTGGCTGAAGAGTCGACGGCATTGGAATGAGCACGCATCTGCGAAACGTGATGCGGAGTACATGGCTTGGTTAGGGGATCGTTTCTGACCTAAGCGAAAGAGAAGACTAGCTAACTAGTGGTTGCCCCCAATTTTTGGTGCGATTTGGACCTTTTAGCACCCCAGCCATCTCAACAACCACGAAATATTCCAGGTTGTGACTTATGATGATGATATCCGTGGTTATTTTAATATCATCTGTTAATTGTTTAGATCTCTTGATAGCCCTGTTTAGCCGCGGTAACATTTTGCCTAGTTTTGGCCCCTGAAATCAAGTAATACCTACAAAGGACAATACAATAGGATTACGCCGCCATACTGCTCCAAACATTCTTTTAGCTATTAGAATGAGCTAGATAGTATATGCAATCTTAAAGCTATACTTTATATCTCGCGGTTGTTGAGATTGCTGGGGTGCTAAAGCATGCAAATTGCACCAATAATTGGGGTGGCCACATTCTTGCAGTGGCCACTTGCTTGCCGACTACGTTGATGGATATCGCGCCAAGATATTGTTAATCATTAACCCGTGCGACCCTGAGATTCTCCCGATGCACAGAGCAGCAGCCTCTCTACTTCTGAACACAATTCAATTATACGGGTCGCCAGAACCTGTCACATCTTCTTTGGACTATTCTATGTTGCGTTGTTTATTCTATCATTAGGAACGCTCAGAATCTCCCCGCACGTCAAGAAGACAGGCGGATTACCGAGATATGGATGACCTTTTTCCGTCAGAGCTGCCGTGCAGAACCTGCCGTGAACTGCATAGAGTGACCGAAGACTTTCAGGTGATAGACTTCCAAACAGTGGCAGAAATCGAGTCAAAGCGTACTTATCCCGTCTGTCAATTAGTACTCCGCATGCTACCGTCCATACCCGATGTGAACCCTGGCCTACAACAACAGATTAAGCTGTCACCACAAAGAATCACGCTGAGAAAAATGGGAAGAGACGGATTCATCATTTGGCAAGACGGCGTTATGCGAGGCGAGCTTGACTATTTCCTCCCTGACCATCAAATCGATGCTGACTCGGATTGGTGGTCTCCGGTCAAAGACACAGCTGCGAAACGCCCAACATCCTGACCAAGTGCGACTCCGATCACATTCACTGTAAAGCATCTCATTCTGTGCGCAGCATGAGACCTCCGATAAAGACTTATTTCATCGACACGCTTGACAACTGTCTTGTCTACAGAGACACCAGTGTCCAGTATCTGGCTCTCAGTTACGTATGGGGCAATACAATCATGTTCAAAACAACATTTTCAAATTGTACCGCCCTTCAACAGCCCGGAGCATTCCTTGGTATCCAACCTCCCTTGAGCCCTGTGGTTCGAGATGCTATCGAAGTTTCGCGCCGACTAGAGGAACGATATTTATGGATTGACGCTCTCGCTCTGTGCATTCCACAGGACGACGAAATCCAGAAGGCGCAACTGCTCACAAAGATGGATTCAATCTACCCACAAGCATTCCTCACCATCGTCGCCCTAAGCGCGGACAGTGCCGAATCTCCATTGCCAGGTGTCAGGCAAGGCACGCGACTGGCGAACATTGCGTCCGTCCAGATGTCAATTACAGATACTGAGGAAACACTATCGAACAAATTTTTAACCGTCAGGCCATTTTTGACCGATGTCTTGCGAAATCGTTCATACAATTCAAGAGGTTGGACTTTCCAAGGAAGTTGTCTCTCCAGACGATGCTTGATATTCATGGACCATGGAACTTTCTTTCATTGCTACTCTGGATTAGAGAGCGATTCTGGCTTGACCATGTCGGATTCCTGGCCTGAACGAAATACTCTATCAGCGGTACTCGAAACGCAGGATACTTCTCTGGATGTTGGTTATCAATACACCCTGTTCACTCAGCTAGTCTTCGATTTCTCCGAGCGAAAACAAACGTACTCAGAGGACTCACTCAAAGCAGTCAGTGGCATTTTTGCCATTTTTTCAAGTCGATTTGGATGGCGCTTCCTTGCTGGGATGCCTTCCCTCCTCATGGGTCGCGCTCTCTTATAGAGATCGGCTTCCCCAAACCGGTTGCGTAATCCAAATTTTCCAAGCTGGTCCTGGGCAGGGTGGATTGGCGGGTCGCACTGGCATTTCCAAATTTTTCTAGATCCTCTTTAGACGGAGTCCGACATCAGAGACGCTCCGCTAATTCCTATGCAGTCTGAAATCGAAATCCTGCAGGAGCACAACACGGAAGCATCAAATAGCCTGTATACTCATGATAATACCAGGATTTCCGCGCTTCACGTTAACACGGATTCGGTTGGAATGAGTGCTTTTCAAGTTGTTCCTAGAAAACTAACGCTCTGGCAGCCAGATCAGATTCCACTTGCCCCGTACGAAGAAATATGGACAACGGATGGCCTTAGATGCGGTATGCTGTATGATTTCCAAAGTGATAAGCGAGAGGTTCACAAATTCATTGCGCTGTCACGGTCTAAATGGATAAGAGAACAGGTGGTACTTGACCATTTGACTTCTTGGTTTGGCCATATTTGTGATGACACAAGGCTGGCGTTTTCGGAATATTGTCTTGTAAATGTTATGTTAGTAATGACTACAGAAACTGGAACAGAAAGAGTTGGAATCGGGTTAATACATAATGATGTGTGGCGGGCGCTCTCAAAGGTGAGGGAGGTTATAGAGCTTCTATAGCACTACACTACAGTTATATAGCATGCTCGCACCGCAACACCTCATGTTCGCCCAGTCATAGCTCGGTTTAAAACCATGCATGCTCATTCCTAGGGATCGTTTATATCGCTTGCAAATGTCACCTACCAATCTCGTCAATCTCGGCAGCTTACTCACTCTTTCACTGCAGGTCAGACCGTATGACTCACGAATACATAGAGCAATGCTAGAATACGAAGTAGAACATATAAATATCATCCATTCTAATCTAAACAGAGCTTTCAATTCCCAGAACTTCCACTCCCGTTGTCTGAAGCCAGTTCATTCTCCGGAAAGATAGCCGTCTCTCTCCATTTCTATACTCCCTCCCTCCTCTCTATATCTCTATACTTCGTCTCTTTTTTAAAGCCTCAACCCCACCCTTAAAACCCTAAATAAGAACCTTCCTCTCTCCATCTCTCCCTTAACCCCAAAAATGTCCTCAAGCGGCCCCCTCTCCCCCTCCCTGGCCCCCCAAATCGCCTCCGCCTGCATCCACACCTCTCCCCTCTCCGACGTCCAAGCCCCCCAAACCCTCCACCGCATCGCCCTCCTAAACACCTGGTTCCCCTCCGGCGTGCGCCCCGGAACCCGCATCCTCGAGCTCGGCTGCGGCCAAGGCGACACCACCGCCGCACTGGCCCACCTCGTCGGGCCCACGGGCCACGTCACAGCACTCGATCCCGCGCCGCTGGACTACGGCGCCCCCGTCACGCTCGGCGAAGCGCAGTCGCATCTGAGTAAAGGGGTATATGGGGATCGGATTACGTGGGTGCAGGCGGAGGTGGTGGAGTGGCCTGAGGCGCTTGAAGGACTAAAGAAGGGGGGAAAGGGTGAAGAGGAGGGGTTTGTGTTTGATGCCGTTGTATTGGCGCACTCGATCTGGTATATGGCCGGCCGCGACGTTCTAGGGAAGATCTTCGAGGGATTGAGGGGGAAGACGGGGAGGGTGTGTGTTGCGGAGTGGTCCCTCCAAGCGTCCGTCCCGTCGCAGTTTCCGCATGTCTTTGCGGCGCTGACAAGGGCGGCCTTGGAGGCGCAGAGGACGGGCAGTGAGGAGAACATCCAGAGTCCGTTGGCGCCGGTAGCAATTAAGGAGGTGGCGGAGGCGAGTGGGTGGAGGGTTGGGAGTGAGAGTGTGATAACGCCGGGGGAGGGCATGATGGATGGGGAGTGGGAGCTGGGGACGGTGAGGGCGGAGGGGTTTTTTGGGGATGTGGAGAGGGACGTGGGTGACGGAAGAGTGAGGGAGGTAGTGTTGAGTTTGAGGACCGCGATGATGGGAGCGTTGAGAGCGGCGGGGAAGGAGGGGGTAAGGAGTATGGATGTTTGGGTGGCGGATTTTGCTTGATGCAATGAGTTTGGGGTTCTTGGGGAGGGAAAAAGCAATCGAATCCTTATTTGGTTACTCTGGGATACCCTCTGATATTTAGTCAAGGTGGTGTTTCCCGTCTCGCATATTTCCATGTTGCTTTACATGCTCATTGAACGATTCCACCGTGAGCTTTCAGTTCCAGTGTAGCGGTCTTGGGCATTTGCATCGCGTACATCCAACGCAATGAAAGCCCCGGTGCAACTCCTTTGTAACTCTGTCTAACCATGGCTTACCCAAGCAGCGGCTGAAATTCCATGGTCATATATGAGGTGTACGGGAATGTTCTCGAGCTTCGAGGCTGTACGCTAGAAGTTGGCGGACGCGTTGAAGAAGAAGCGACAGACGCGTAAAGTTCGTTTGATGGAATGGGGGTAATCAATTTGTGTTCGAGAGTCAGCGAGTGTAGTGTTGTTGATATGGCAAGAGAGGCGGTAAGCCTATCTCGGTATCGCGTATAACTGCTACGTAGCTTCATCTCGAATTCCCACCACCAACTTCAAGCTCCAGCTCCACCACCCAAATATCTCACTTATATCCACCATGGGGAAGCACCAGCTTGAGGCAATCGCCCTCCTCTGCTCCCTCCTCGCCGTCCCCGCCCTCGCCGCCTCAGAAGCACCCCGACCTCGCGGCGTCGGTCCCGAATGTAAGTCCCCCCAAAATCCCAATCCCATTCCCCAATTGCCCTCCTATTCCCGAGGCGCCCATCTACCCTCCCAATTCCCACAAGCTCAAAACTAACCCCTCAACCCCCCACAGTCGCCAAATTCTACAAATCCCCCGACACCTTCACCTGCATCTCCAACCCCTCCCTCACGCTCCCCCTCGCCGCGCTCAACGACGACTACTGCGACTGCCCCGACGGCTCCGACGAGCCCGGCACCGCCGCCTGCTCGCACATCTCGCCGCTCTCGCCGCCCTCGCCCCCCACGAACCCCAACCCCGCGGCGCGCTTCAACGAGACCCTCGCCCTGCCGGGCTTCTACTGCAAGAACAAGGGCCACCTTCCGCTGTACGTCCCCTTCAGCAGCGTCAACGACGGCGTCTGCGACTACGAGCTGTGCTGCGACGGCAGCGACGAGTGGGCGGGCGTCGGCGGGGTGAAATGCGAGGACCGCTGCGCGGCCATCGGCAAGGCGTGGCGCAAGCAGGACGCGGAGCGGCAGAAGAGCCTGGGCGCCGCCAACAAGCGCCGCCGCGAGCTGGTCGAGGCGGCGGCGCGGCTGCGGCGCGAGGTCGAGGATCGGATTGCGACGCTGGGCGCGCAGATCCAGGGGCAGGAGGTCAAGGTGGCGAGCTTGGAGGCGGAGCTGGCGGGGGTGGAGAGGAGTGAGCGGGGGCGGGTGGTTAAGGGGCCCGGGAAGGGGGGGAAGGTGGCGGTGTTGGCGAGTTTGGCGAAGGGAAGGATTGGGGAGTTGGTGGAGAGTCTTGGGAGGGTTAGGGGGGAGAGGGAGAGGGCGAGGGAGAGAGTGAGGGAGTTGGAGCAGATTTTGGCGACGTTTAAGGAGGAGCGGAATCCGAATTTCAATGATGAGGGGGTCAAGAGGGCGGTGAAGGCGTGGGAGGATTATGCGGCGAGGGATAAAGGACCGGATTCGGATCCGGCTCTTGATAGAGATTTGGATGAGATCTTGAAGTCGGATGCGGAGAATGGGCTCAATTGGGAAGAGTTTGAGAGTACTGAGGAGAGTGATGTCGAAGTTTGTAAGTCATATCACTCTCACTTGAATTTAGTTGCAACTAAACTAACTCTCTACAGTATACAAGTTCGAAGAGTACCTCCCCAAGCCACTGAGGGACTGGGTCGACCAGAAGCTTCGCGACCTCCGTGTCACCCTGATCGAGAACGGCGTCCTCGCAGCACCTCACTCCGACTCGGGAGATTCAAAAGCAGTACAAGATGCTCGTCAACAGCTAGAGTCTGCCAAGAAGGACCTCGAAAACGACCGCAAGGAGCTCACTTCACACCAGGAAGACTTGCAGAAGGAGTACGGACCCGACAACATTTTCAGAGCACTGAAGGACCAGTGCATCGACAAAGATTCGGGCGAGTACACGTACTCGTTCTGCTGGCTGGGCCAGACGACGCAGAAGTCCAAGAAGGGCGGAGGACACACCAACATGGGCAACTTTGTGCGCATTGAGAAGGTTACAGTCGATGAGGATCTGCCTCCCGATGGCAAGGGTCTCGGATCAGGCGAGCGTTACTCACTGGTGTACGAGAACGGGCAGCACTGCTGGAACGGGCCGAACAGGAGTACCCGACTCATCCTGGCGTGCGCAGAGAAGGACGAGATCTGGAAGATTGTTGAGCAAGAGAAGTGCGTGTACAGAATGGAGGTCGGCACGCCGGCTGTGTGCGAGTCGGCAGCGGCTAGCGGCAAGGCTCCAGCCGCGAAGGATGAATTGTAAAAATAGTAGATAGAATTTGTAAGGGTCGGCAACGTGGGAGGAGCAGGCGATCGCGATTCTCGACGGCAGCCGGCTTGCTGTTTGAATGAAATCGAACCTAGCGCTTCCCACGCTGTGGTTCACGGTTCACAGCACGGTTCAAGAGGTTGGACACGCGGCACGGGCGTCTGTGATGCGTGACTTGTGGGGTAACTGACGACACTGGCAAGTCAGCAGTGGGAGTCCTTCATTTTACGCGCTTGGCAGAAGTCTGAGAGAACCGGGTGAACGGCAGCCGAAAGAAGGATGATGTTACGTACCTTTTGGAGGTCGAGGAGTGCGTACATAAGCTGAGAACATCTAGTTATCACTTATGCCAGTCCTTACCCTATCTCGTGTATCTGCTCAAGCCGGAAAATGGCTATAGTTAGCCTTTTTACCCCGGGAAAAAGCATAGTAAGCGTATTATCATCTCCTCCGACCTGAAACAACCGGATGTTCTCAATCACGGGCATTTCGTATCCCACAGAATCACATCGCTTCGAACCCAAGTACCAGGCTCAGTCAAACTCGCGCAGCATCGACGGGAAGGGCCCGTTCGCGATGGTGGTCAAACGAAAACACGATACAGACGCGTCGATGGCACGATGGGACGGCTGTGGCGCCAGGCCTCACAGAGGCAGGCCGAGACGGCGATCCTGAAGCAATCTTATATTTCGCCCGATTGAAGATCGTCGCCGGCCCAAAGTGACGGGCCTAAGGCGTCCGCCCTACCTCTTGCGGATGCGCTCCCTATCCCGCCGGCCAGACTATCGAAAGAAAGCGTCAACGGCGCGGAGTTTGGCGCCAATTTCGGTGTCGCCTTATGAGAATCCCATGACTTATCCCCCTCGACTTCCCGTGATAGGCAGGAGGAAATTCTAGAATGTTGCGGGTAGTTGTAATGGTCGATGAGCTCAAGGTTTTCGGGTCAATGCCGTCTTGCCAGGGCCATGCTGTCGTGATGGTTCCTGGATCCATGAAATCGACAGGGCTCTGGAAGGCGGTACCTGATGGAGGTGGCCGGATGTGCGAGGGGCTTTCCTCTGCAGCATCGAATTGAGCCCAGGCCAGGCAGAGAAGATCAGTCCCTCTCTTCAGCGCAGCGTCTGGTTTCATTCTCCTCTGCTCGGGTTTCCTCTGCAGCGTGCGTGTGCATCACCGCGAAGTTTGTTTGGCTGGGGCGCACGTCTGGAGCAGCTGCTGCGATCTCCCGCGCCTCACCCATGCTTGCCATGCTTCACGACGGGCTGTGCTGTGATCGGCGTGCAGACTCCCCCGTGATTAGCGCGGTGGTGTCTCTCGGTGCAGCCAGATGGATGATGCGTGTGCCACGGCGGGTCACGACATTCTGCACCATCGTGCTCTCTGTCTTGACGACGCATGGAAGCCCCGGGCTGCTGAGGCCGTCGCGGTCGCGGACGTGATCAGAGCGGCGGTCGACAGCGTGGCCTCTGCGTGGGGTCCCAGTTTCAGAGGGCGACAGGGCGTGGCAGGGCTTGGCGGGGGTGAAGGCGTCGGCCAGGGGCTCCCGTCACAGTGGGCGTGGCGGGACGGGCGTGATTGGCTTCGTTTGGAGAAGACGCTGGCGCTCCCGCTGCAGCTGTTGGGTTTCAGCAGGCCGTTTGGAGCCACTGCATGCGCCAAAGGACTAGAGGCCCCCTATCCGTCAACGGCCGGCACACCACTTCGCCCATCTCTGATCGCTCTGCTGGTCGACGTCGTGGTGTGCGGTGTCGTCGGGGCTGCGGTGCGAGCGCTGGATATTGCTGGATATTGCTGACTCCGGCGATGACGATGATTTCAGCCGTGAGGTCGCACAGCAGACGGCCCGGGACGAGTTGAGGCAAGCTGCAAGGCGATCTCTGGGCCGGCCGGCTGAGGCGCCAGGTGCCGAAGCCTCCCCCGACTTCTCCTTTATATTGGCCACGTTGGGCGGCCTTGGAGCGGGCGCTTGTGGCTCGAGGCCCCCGAACAGGCGCAGACGTCGCCGTGATCCGTCTCAAGCAGTGAATGTATGCGTCTCAGGGGAAGCCGGGTGAGTCGTGGCAACGGCCGACTCGAAGTGCAGCAGCCCTGCAGCAGCTGCCGTTCGCTGTCACTGCGAGGCGGGACCTTGCATATGCTCGCTAGATTTAGGCCCAGCTCAGGCACTCCCGCAGCTTTGCGGATGCACATTCGGCCTCACACACCGGCGCGCCAGGAGGGCCAGGTGGACGTCGGCTCCAGACAGGGTTAGCAAAAGTAGAGAAAAAACAGGCCGTCCCGTTGGCCCAGCGGGCCGCGCTTCAGGTCTCGCAAAAGCCATGAGCTGCTAATTTCCCGCTCGTGGAGATTGGAGCCCTTGACCCTGTCGCCGCTCTCGAGCGTTCACTCGTTCAGCAGCGACCCCTTCCGCCCGTCGGCGCCTCAGTGCGGCCTGCGAGTGGCATTATTCACGTGTGGCTCTCCCGCCTGCCTGCCAATCTTCCGCCCAACCCAGCGTCTTCGTTCTTCCATTCACTGCTCAACGCGCGCGGGCGTCTCGTCTGCTCTCCATACGCTTCCCCAGCTCCCCACGCTCCTTCCCATTCGTCTCCCTCCTGTCCAGTAGCCATCTCCCGTCTCTATCAGACTGCTCGACAGGATCGCCCGCGCTGGGACTCGCCTTGGCCCGATTTCCTTCAACCTCTATTCATCGCTGCACGCCAGCGTCCATTCATTCAACCCCCATTCCTCGCCCGCGACCACCACAAACACCGCCTCACTCCTTCACCCGCCCCTCGATTGCGTCCGTCCCAACTGCGACTGCATGTAGACTGCATCCTCCGCCCCCAATCCCGCGTCGCAGCTTTTGCTCCCACGTTCACTGTCTCGGGCCTTCGCCAAGCGGTCGCCAAACGTCGTGTCAATTGCGTAGGTTGCTCCTTACCTCGTCCTCCTGGAGGCTGGCAACGTTGGTGTGGGGAGTAACGCAGCTAGCCGCACGCTGACCATGGCACTGACACACTGTCTCTTTCTAGTGGACCATTGTTACGCACATATCCTTCCTACATTGCTTCGACAACGCACACCGAGCTGGCCATCAAGTCCCAGAGCACCAATTTCACAAAGAGGCGGTGGAGGCTCTGTGGGACGAGCGTTTGCTCTCACGACCGCTGCCCTAACATATCTCGCTCCCGTCCGAAGCACACCCTGTAAGCTCTTTTACTTTCAGCACAGCATGAGCGACGCTTCTCCATCATTGCGCAGGCAATTCCTGCTCGTGCGGCTTTTCGACCATATCAATCTCGCTAACTCGACCAAGGCCAAAATGAATCGCTTTTTCGGGCGCAAGAAGGAGGAGATTGTCGAGGATGCGCCAGTCAGCAATGTTGCCTCGTCTGGCACGAAGAAGGCGAAGAAATCGAAGAAGGGACAGCCTGAGCCGAAGCCTGAATTAGACTTGTCGATTGCCCTGCCATCAACTGACAACTTCCGGACTAGCTTGCTGATGCCAAACTTGTCGGCCCGATTCAGCATGTTGAGAGAACAAGATGATCCAAACTCGAAACTCGGCAAAGCAAGCGACGACAGCGTCTTACATCCGAAGCGACAGTCTCGTCTCCACGACTTCGGTTTTGTTCCAGGTGGTCTCTCCGATATCGCCGAAGTTGCATCAATCAACAGTTCCATCCGACCTCCATTCGCCTATGGAAGGCAGGACTCCGTTGATGGATATGGCACTGATGACGACTCTCAATCTGGAAGTGTTATGACGAGATCGCGCCCGGGCGAAGGCAATGTTCTGTTCGGTGGCCGCCAGAAGGTCTACAAGATTGCCAACTCAGGCAATGGATCATCCAAGAGCTTAGGTAGAGCGCTCTACGAAGATGATGTCAACATGTCTACATTCCAAAAGATACGTCAACAGGAGCGCGCCGATAAGGAACGGGAAGCTGCCGAGCTGGAGAATGAAGAGCGGCTGTTCGATAGCAGGCAGTCTGAACCGGAACCAGAACCATCAAGCCCACTTAAGGAGTTTTATTCGCCGTCACTTTCTGGATACAGTGGCCGACGAGGGACGAACTCTTCCGCCGGATCTGGACAGGCACGATCATCCACTGCTGCTACGTCCATCGCTTCGCAAGGAGCCAGTTCCGTTCCAGCTTCATCGCCTGCAGTTCCAAATGCACCGATACTACCCCTAGCGAGTGATCTGAACCGCACTATGACTAAGGGACGAAATCGTTTGTATGATCAAGGCTTGGATCAGCACATTCATGACCAACAGTCATCCGCCATGAGTCGGTTGAATTCGATTCAGAAGCAACGTGGACCAACCGCTGGACTCTCGACTCCACCATTCCTGTCACAAGCCAGAAGTGCGAATAATTTGAGCGATCGATTTGCCCGTCCTGGAGCACGGGCTGGTAGCCCTACCCAAGCTGGTGCTATGCCTACCATTGCATCTGGCGGGCCTGTCCACCCTCCGTCGTCCAACTCAAGCCCCGTACTGTCCCAACCCCAATCACCACCAATGAGCCCCTTGGGAAGCGACGAGGAAACAAACGCGCTGCACTCTGCGCTCCAACCCAATGACCGAGGCAAAGCAACTGCTATGGGTGCCTTTAACAAGCCCAAGCAACAATTTGATGAGCAGCAATATGCCCAGCGTCTGAAACAGATGCAGCAGGGTAAGGAAACGCCAGCGCCAGCGCCAAGGAATGAGAGGCCAACGAAACCATCTCTGCGTGAGCGTGCCGAGATTGAAGCGCGCAAGAGGGCCGAGGCCGATGTTCCGGATCGCTCGAGATCAGATTCGACTGTAAAGAGAGAAGCACCTTCACCATTTAATGATGACGTTTCGGAGCGCCCGAGGTTAAATTCGAACGCTAAAAGAGAGCCACCATCCCCCTTCTCAGTCTTCCAGAAGGCCGCCAACCAGATGAGGGATGCACCTTCACCAGCCTCTCCACAGAGGCCAGCGCCTCAGGTGCCGGCCTCTGAGTCACGCGCCACTTTTTTCGCCTCTCCTGGTGATAGTAGCGATGACGACCTTCCCAAGGCTCGTCCTGTGAAATCGTCGGATCTCGATCGACGGCTTGAAGGGCTTCAGCGACCTCCACCAGTGGCCAGCCGAACTGCTCCTCCCATTCTTGACCATCCTGCTCTCCGATCCCGCAACAACTCGAGGCCAGAGAAACCACAACTCGAGCACCGACCCGATGAGCGACACACTAACGATGCAAACCGCCAAGTCGACAACGCTGAAAAGCGCACATCGGCGGGTACCATTGTCAACGGCGACAATGATATTGACTCACCAACTCTCGGCGATGATAAGGGTGGCCTGAGCGGACTTGTCAGGCAACATCTTCGAAAGCCTAGCTCGGTGTCCTCGGTATATGGAGATGAAAAGCCGCCAGCACCAGAGCCCCTTTCTCTGCGCACTCAAGATGGAGCTATCCGGCGCGGACAGGCTCCGTCCGAATCTGATACTCCTGCACATTCCAGCTACAGCCACTCAAATCCTTGGGATCTGGAAGACCTAGACCGAAGTTCGCACTACGGTGAGGGTGATAGTATCAGCTCCACCAGTCCAGTCGATCCTTATCGGCCAAAGGTACAGCCAACATACGGTGGATCTCAGCCCGTTAATGGCAATTTGCGTGATCGAAGTGGCTCCCAGGATACAGATGCTCCTCAGTGGGAACAGGAACTGAGGAAGACGCATGCACGTGGAGGCAGCACCGAGACTCAACACGAGCGCGAAGCATTTCAGAACGAACTTGCGCAGCGTCAGCGGGCAATTCAAGAGAGGCTTCGTAATGGAGTAAGCTCGAACGACAGAAGCCGATCCCAGAGCCCTGCTGCGAGTGGTCTGAAGAACGCTCTGGGGATGCTTCGCTCTAAGACCAGCCGCGACTCCATGGCAGTCAACAACAATCCTTCGAAGCCCGAGCCCACGCAGACAAAGGCTATGAGGATGCTGGGAATCGGTGCACCGTCAGCTAGCGCCAGCAGTACATCCTTGGCTGGGTCCGAGAACAAGTTCTACGGAAGTGAATACTGGAGGTCCGAGGAGAATCAAGTCGGTCCACAGGGAACACGACCGAAACCATCACGAATTCCACAGCAGAGCGAACAGGATGCCCGGCGAGAATTAGAGCAGCGACTCCAACGTGGAGCTAGTGAGGACAACAGTCGTGATCCCAGATCTGCCAAGGGTCGCTCACCACCAGCATCGAGCAGGAGCTCTACGCGAAACCGGTCAAGCTCGGAGCTTTCGCAAGGTCGATCAACGAGTCGTACTGGACGGTATCGGGATGACCTCGACAAGGCAATGGCTGAAGGCACTGGCAGTACTAATGGCTATCCTGGCATGTCACCATCCATTCCCCAGCACGTTCAGGGGAGTTCGTCACGTCAACACTCACCAGAGACTCTACCAGAGGTGGTTGCACAAGGAAATATGCGAAGCAACAGCAGAACCGCAGCTGCTGCTTACTTTGACCAGAAGTCTCTGCATCCGATACACACCGCCCACAGCCCAATGATAGGATCGTCTCCTCGCCTGTCACCGGCAGCTAATAGCCCGGCCATGGGAGGAGTGTCTCCTGGATTGCCGTTGTCTCCTCGCCCCTCTCCGGGAATCAGCCCGGGCATTGCTTCGATCCGCCCCTACCCTTTACCGGTTGCCCCGTTCTCGGCCAACTCAACGCCTCCAATTTCGGCGGCGACGACTCCTGTGGCTTCGTCTTTCAGCTCAAATATCGCCACCAGCAGAGGTACAATGCGTAAGAAGTCAATCAACAAGTCGGACATCTCGGAGCCAGTGTTCATTTCTGCTACGTCGGTCATGGATACGGTCGACCTTCCTGCTGGAGCTTCCCTCAGGAATGGCGTTGAGTCTCCACCACCAGTTCCTCCCATCAACCCTCGACGTCGATTTGGATTTGGCCGTACCGGTACCAGCGAGAGTAGCGATGGGGCAGTGCAACCTCCACGTGCTCCTTTCGCAGATCCGATGCGGACCAACTCTGCCGACGAGCTTGACCAACAGGCGCGGCCGAAGGGACACAAGTTGCGCAAGTCATCGAGTGAAGGTCGCAGTCTTTACATGAAGAACCAAGCACCTCCGGTCATCAGCCCGGCGTTCCCACCGGCTGGAATTAACGGATCGCCACCACGTCCGATCGCAGATGGTTCAATGTTCTGAGATCAGCAGCAAGCAGTTTTCCTTTCAAATTCCCTTCCTGTCACATATGTTAAGAGATTCCATGTCCCGTACTCCCCATACAGACAGGACGACATAAGCATATATGTGTCATGCCACCAGTGGGGTCGGGAGTTTTAGTTTCAGTTTTTAGTATCTGGATTTGTCTGGCGCAGCGTGCGGGCAAAAAGCGACTTACACAAGATTTGCACGATTTCACTTCTTCTCTTCTTGACGGCTTGTGTGGTTCAGCAATTTCCTCTTCTCTCGGCTCTGCATACTGCACGATACCTAGACAGATTCGAGTCTGCGTTATTTGTTTTATTTTTATTTTTTTCTTCTCGACGGCAGCATACTCGGTAGCTGGGACGTATACTCGACAGCAGTTGCAGTCTACGGAACAGACCTTTCTTCTCTTCGACACTGCAACTAGGGCAAACGGGAACTTTTATCGGAAACGGAGCAAGGCGGGCGGGTAGGGGACTCCTTTCCACAACTTTCTCCTGGGGCACACAGCCGACAAAATGGCCGGGCGATTTTTTTAGCGGCAACGGGAACGGGGTTGGTAGACACACTATGGCGCACCTGGCATATAGCGGGTTCTGTATGTTACGCAGATGCTGGAATATTTTGGACAGCCGGCCGGGTATGGAGGAGTGAGTGGTCTGGCTAGAGAAATGGGTGGTCTTCTCGAGAGATGAGAAGACGGATGGCATGTACTATGCTAAAGCTAGTCTGTATAAATCGTAACTTGTAAACGAAGCATGAGATGTGTCTCTCTTTTGACGAGATTGGTGAAATGATTGCTTGTGGAATACACTTTTCGTGGTGAGATCTCCATGCGTCTTGTCTTGGCTCTGAAGCTGACGTGAAATATTCGATAAATAGGCTTTGGTGGTGAGACGGCTGCTGAGTGACGAGTCGGTTTTGGCGGGGGGCTGAATGGCTGGCGATTCAATTTTCTGGCCTCGACTCCACTCCACGGGATAATGCAGGTGATAAGTCACATGTCTCTCCCATCAGCTCCCCTCGCCAACCCATCTATCTATCCTTCTCCAAGCTTTGCCCCTGTGGGCCTTTCACGACTCTCTCACGCTCCCTCCAGCGACACACGCGCGTCACGCGTCGTGCTACCAGACCAGCCCGGCAACGTGCCACACTCCGAAGCGTCCGGTCCGACGTCCACAGCAAGCATGGGTCAGCACGATTTCTCCGATGGCTTGCTGCAGTACATGTCACGAGAAGTCGGTACCGAGGGGAGCGTGCGCGCCCTCGCCCCGCTTTCCGAGGTGCTCGATTCGCTGCCGTCGATCAGGGGCTGCAACCACCACTTTTTGTTCCGCGCCGCTTGGGCCCCCCTTATCGCATGCGGGCTGCGAGTGCCGGGCGCATCCAGCCTTTGCTTGCTTCGGGAGGCCGAGGGGCCGTGCGTGTGCCTGGGCTCCGCAGACAACCCAGCGCCCAGCACGCCCGGGATCTGCGGGCGGGCTGTTATGGGGTGTGATTGGCGGGTGAGGCTGGGATTGACGACGTTGGGGCGGAACATGGCGCGAGGAAGCGGTCGAGTAGGATGGTGGGGATGAGGTGTGTGGAGAGCGAGCTGGCGAGTGGAGGATGTTTTAATTCGGGATAGATTAGAGGTCTCATTTTCTTTATTACGGAGTCTGTTGTGGATTAGAGGGTATATACTTGGGATGGCCCTGCTGTTGGAGAAGGAGGTGTGTGTTGCTTCTTCTTCGTCTTCTTCTTCCTCAAGTGACGAGTAAATCTACTCTGCATACCCTCTTTTTTATATCTGCCATAGTCACTGCTCCGAGCGCTCCTTCATGTACGTGTGCATTCGTTCCTCCTCTTATCTGGTCATAATGATGGAGGATGGAGGATGGAGGATTCAATTGGATCCTGACTTCCATCCTTCTCGTTCCCGTTCCGCCAACCGCTTTGTATCACCTCCACATGCACGTCGGCGCGCCTTTTCCCTTTCCACATCCCCCATTCTCACCTGTCACGGCTTCGCGAGACGCGCTGTTGCCCACGCCTGGCCGTCAGCACCCCAGCTCCGCGTCCCAATGCAATTAATTCAACTGCCGCTGATCGCGTTTGGATTCAGCTGACTCCGAGGAGCTGGCTATGCATGTTCCGTTTTCTTCTTATCTAACAACATGTTAAAAGCGGGTGGATCCCTTGTCTGCCTCGCTCGTGGCTTCTTAGTCTCGTCTCAATTCCTTCCAGCTATGCGGATACGTCGCGACACTGCATATAAAAGAGGATTATCATCCCTTGCGTTTTGCGGAACACTTACTCTTTGATAGCTGCCTCTGCCGCCCACCTCGAATCTATCATTCATCTATCTCTTCGCTCTTTCAAAACCGCAAATATGAAGTTCGCCACCACTATCCTCGCGCTCCTCGCTGCCACTACCTCCGTCGTTGCGGTTGACTATAGCAGCATCCCGACTTGTGCTGTGAGTAGTCCATCTTCCATGATCCAGGCGCCGTAATCCGATTTCCGATCCAAAGTCCCTCGCCTCCTTGCACATTTGCGCGTCTTGCAGCTCGAACTCCCCAGCCCATCATCTCCTCGAAACAAAACTAACCTCCAACCCAGCTCACCTGCATCGTCTCCGCCATCACAAAGTCCGGCTGCAGCAGCACCGACTTCCAATGCCAGTGCGTCACAAAGGCCAACGAGATCACGACAAACGCTTCGCCGTGTATCGCGTCTGGATGCAGCAAGGACGACCAGGCTAGTACGTGACCTCTTCTCTCATTCCCATCTAGACCGTTACGCGAGCATTAGTCCACTTGCTACGCCAAACGTCATTGCTCTATCGTCACCTCTCCGACTTCGCTCCAAGGAAAGTCCCAAAACACATAACTAATATTCTCCACAGAGGTCCAACCCGCCGTCGCCGGCATCTGCGCCGCCGCGCTGAGTTCCTCTGTCGCTCTCCCCACCGCCTCCGGCTCCGCCGCGTCTGGGTCCGCCAAGTCGGCGACTGTCACCTCTTCCCCTACGGGCTCGGCTTCGAAGACTGCGTCTGCGGCCGGTGCGACGAGCACGGGTGCGGCGGCGGATGTGCGTGGGTATGGTGCGGCGGTGTTGGGGTTTGCTGCTTTTGCGATGGCGATCTGAGGGAGGAGCGTGTGAAGTGGATTGGATAAATCTTCGACTCGGATCTAAATTTGGATTGGCTATGCAGAGGGAGCTTTTGGCGAAAAAGGTGACGCTAGGTGTAGAAGAGCCTCTTGTGTCTATATTCCAGCATGGTTGGGTTTTTTCTTGTTCCATTCGAGGTGGAATTTGGTGTTGGATGATGGATGGGATAGATGGATTTCATTGGTTTGGTCTTGAGCCGACCGATTGGATTGAAATGGGTTATTCTGCCTTTTTTGCTCTCCAATTTACCTGAAGCTGTGTGGCCTTTTTACACTCTTTCTGATACGTCTTCTTCAACTGTTCGACAAGAGGTGGTTCGCTCACTCTTCACTCCACCCCCTCAAAACTCCCCCTCCACTTCCCCGCCCACGCGCTGAACTCATCCTCCTTCCCCTCCCAACTCTTCTCCACAATTTGCGTCGCCCTGATAGCATCCCCACACACCTTCTCCAGCAACTTCCCCACCTCTTCAGCATCGAGGTCGTAAAACGCGGACGCAAGCTCATCCACAGTCTCCGGTATCCCTTTCAACAGCGCCATAATCTGATCCAGCGTCTGCATATTCCGCTCCGCCACCACCTCCGCCTCCGTCTCCCCCTCCTTCAAAGCTTTCCCAGTTGACGAGGCCTTCGGCACCGGAAACGTCCTCAACCTCCTCTTAACAAGCGCCTGATACACCAACCCCACCATCCTCAACTTCTTCACACTCCTCTCCAACAACCGCCTCACCTCACTATCCCCCTTCCCCAACTTATTCCCCGCCCCAAAGAAATCATCCTCATCGCCAAACCCTTCTTCCTCCCCATCGCTTCCTACTCCCTCTTCCTCCCCTTCCTCCCCCCACTCCTTCAGTTCCTGCACCGCATCCACCAACACCCCCCGCCACTCCTCCGCCCTCCGCACCACCGTCCCCACAATCCCGTCCGCAACGACCCGCTCAACCGCCTCGCAGCACTCCCACACCACCCCCGTCGCCGCGAGCACGGCCGCGCGATCCGCCTCCTGCACGCCCTTGTCGAACTTCCCGCTCTTCCGGTCTTGGGCGTCGGTGGTGCCGTGCTGCGCGCGCTCCGCGACGCGCCCCACGAGCGCGAGCAGCTCGGACCACGCGGCGAGCACGCGCCGCACGGCGAGGCGGGCGGCGCTGTGGACTGTCGAGCCTAATTCCGAAGATTGGGGGTGGGAGGTAGAGCTGGAGGCGGGAGGCGGGCTTAGGCAGGCGACCATGGTGAGCAGGATGTCGGTTGTGGTTGTGATTTTGGGGTAGAGGGCCGAGGGGGTCAGCGGGGGCGTGAGGAGGAGGAGGGAGAGGGTGGTTGTGTTGGCGCGGAGGAGGGCGGTTGTGGATTTGAGGGTTTCGAGAATTGGGGGTGGGGGGGTGGTGGAGGAGGTGGTGGTGGTGGCATCTTGGGGCGAGGTGGTGGAGGGTGAGGCGGCGGTTGGGGGTGCGAGCGAGGATTGGAGATGGGTGAGGAGGGTGCGGGTTGTGTGGGCTAGGTCGATGAGGGAGGCGGTTGTTGGGGTTGCTTTTGGTGGCATTGTTGCGGTTTTTGGAGGGTTTTGGGAGGGTGGTTTTGGGTTGGAGGTTTGAGAGGTCGTGAAGGTTTATAGGAAGATGATGGCTGGTGTCGAGTCAGGACGAAATATAAATTTTGTGACCCCGCGGTGGGGGTGCGCTGTGCTGTTTTTGGATGCTTGGGCCGATCTGAAGATGTGGATAATCCGAGCTTACAGATTTCTGGCAGAGCGTTCGGGCGATAAAAAGACTCCATATTATGAGAGAGTAGAAACTGCACCACTAGTTCACATTTAAGAAGGAAGAGACAAATATTGGTCACGTGGACTTCATCTCCGCTACTCTAACATCGTCATTCTCAATCAACTTCTCCAAAAACAAACACCTCCCCAACACACAACCATGCCTCCCAAAGGCTGGCGCAAAGCCGCCCACGACCCCGTCGCAACCCAAACCCTCGTCCTGGACAACGGCGCATACACCCTCAAAGCCGGCTTCGCTTCCGCCGCCGCTGCTCCTACCTACGACGACTGCAAGATAATCCCCAATTGCATTGCGAAAGGCCGCGACAAACGCGTCTACATCGCGTCCGACCTCGATAAATGCACAAACTTTGGCGAAATGGCGTTTCGGCGTCCGGTCGAGCGCGGGTTCATCGTGAACTGGGAGGCGGAGAAGGCGATTTGGGAGCATGAGTTTTCGGAGGGAAAGGAGGGGCTGAGGGTATGACGGAACACATTCAGAATGGAAAGAATATGGGCTGATGGTTTGGTGTAGTGTGATCCGAAAGAGACGAACCTGGTGCTTGCGGAGGCGCCGAATTGCCCGGTGCAGCTGCAGAAGAATTGCGATGAGATGGTGTTTGAGGAGTTTGAGTTTGCGACGTATTATAGGAGTATAGGTATGACAACACTCTCTGTGAAGTTGCTACATATGAGATGCTAGGCTAATAAGACCACAGGTCCGGCTCTGAACGCTTATAACGACATCCCCTCCCTCTTCTCCGACTCCGCTCCTCCAGATACCTCGCCCCTCCCCCCGGAGTGCCTCCTCCTAATCGACAGCTCCTACTCCCACACGACCATCACTCCCCTCTATAATGGTCGCCCCATCCACTTGGCCATCCGCCGCATGTCCGTCGGCGGGAAGCTCCTCACAAACTACCTCAAAGAGCTCTCCTCCACCCGCCACATCAACATGCTCGACGAAACATACCTCCTCAACGAGATCAAAGAAGCCGTCTCCTTCGTCTCGCCCTCATTCAAGACGGATCTCGAGCGCACGTGGAAAGGCGGGCTTTCAGATCGCCGCGAAGTCGACCCTTCAATCGTCCTCGACTACGTCTTGCCGAACTACGAGCATAGCGCCCATGGCTTCGCACGGCCGCATGACCCGATCAAGGCGCGCCGCAAACTGCTTCAGCCGCTCGACGGGCCCCGTGAGGACATCCTCCCAGTCGGCAACGAGCGCTTTGCGGTTCCGGAGCTGCTATTCACGCCGACGGATATCGGGCTGCAGGAAGCTGGGCTGCCAGAAGCTATAATGCAAAGCTTATCCGTCCTCCCAGCGGCGCTGCAGGCTGGGATGCTGGCGAATATCGTGGTGGTAGGGGGCAATTCGCTGATCAAGGGGTTCATGGAGAGGCTGTGAGTACCCATTCCTTACCTCTAGCTCCCACTCCGCTCCCCTGTCTGCGTCGGGGTTCAAAAGACTGACAGGATATTTCCGTAGCGAAACCGACCTCCGCCAACTCACCCCCACAAACATCCCTCTCCGCATCGCCCGCGCCCCGGACCCAATCAAACACACCTGGCTCGGCGGCGCGCGGCTGGCCCACGACCGCGACCTCCTCCGCGGCGTCGTCGTGACGCGCGCGCAGTATCAGGAGCATGGCTCGACGTGGCTAGGGAGGTGGTTCGCGGGGGGCGACGCACTGAAGGGGAAGTGAGGCCCCCCCCCGCTTAGGTAGATTTGGATAGTTATATACCCGTTTTTCGTCTTGAGCTCGATGGCTCATATGCTGTGATTTTAGTACCTATTTGGGATATTAATAACGTGGGGGTCTGAATTGGGCAAGGGCTAAAGCGTGAGGCTGTGAGGTGGTGAGATGGAGATCAGGTCAAAAGAGCCATGTTTAGGTGGCGATTTGGGATATTGACCCGGTGTAATGTTCGGAACGCTCGAAATTGGGTCGGAGGAAAAGGGTAAATTACAGTAACTACGCTGAGAAGCATAAACGAGAGCCAGTCCGTGCGATCTAAGCCCGATTTTGTTATGTTATTGCGCAACAACGGTGAATCAGACCGTGGGATGGGGCTAACACTCCAAGGGGATGAAAGAACACGGGAGCCAGTCTGGAATTCAGATGACATGGCATAGGATCTGCATAACAAGCTGCGATTCAGACTGTTATCGTGATGCAAACTCTTTGACACGCTCACTCGAGCTATGGGAGAGTGTCAATATTACAATGAGTTGATTCTTCATTATGGCGTTTCTGCGGATTTAGAGCTTCCCTTCTACAATCGATCGGATTTAGGCTGGTTGGTTCTGTGGTAAGAAGGAACTACGCCGTCTACCCTCTGCGTGTACGCCGCGTCTCTTAAAGCTTCTTCTCCGCGGTTGATTCTGTAAAAACTTGCAACTAAGAATTCTAATCTACCCACTGGAGCGCTCTCTGCGGGCTCGGAGCTTCGTAATCTTCCCTTCTACAATCGATCGGATTTGGGCTGGTTGGTTATGTGGTAAAAAGTAACTACGCCGCCTGCCCTCTACGTATACGCCGCGCCTCTTAGGTTTTCTTCTACACGGTTGATTCTGTAAGAACTTCCAACATATTTCCCTAACCTGTGCGCGGAGGTGCCTCAGCTACTTTCCGTAGGTCAACAATCTTGATGGCAGAAGGCTGATATACATGCCGTTGCTTTTGCAGTAAGAAACGACTACGAGACGTGCAGCGCGGCATCCACCTTGTGTCTAACAAAAATAGTTCGTATGCGGTCAGATCCGTAAGACTTTGTAACATAACGTAGCAAAGAGGCGCCTCATCCTCACAGTTCCATTAATCGTAGCAGCATACCAACATAATTACGTACACATGTAAGCCCAAGCGCCAGGAAGCACCCATGACCGTTCAAATCACGCCCTCTACAGGCTGTCGCTACCCCTGTTCTGCTATAACATTTACCCACTAGTATCGCTCGATAAGCCACACCCTCCTCTCCTTCTCCGGCATATCCGCCAGCATCTTCTGCTCCACTTTCTTCATAGCCATGAAATCCCATACCAGGCCATTCGCCATGACCTCCTTGAGGTCAGAGTCCTTGTATAGTGCCTCTAGCGCTTCATCAATCGTAGCAGGCATACGGCGGTGGATGCCGTAATCCGTCTTCAGCTGCTCCGCCGACATGCGGCTCGGGTTATCTAGAGCGCGAGTACAGTCGTCAGCAAAACCATTCTCCATCTTAATCACAAAAAACCATGGCCAGGGAAGCACGAGAGCAACTCACACGGACAATCCTTCTCCATGAAAATCTCCGCCCCACCTTCTTTCAACCCCAGCAATCCCGCACCCACAATCGCCGCCATAGCCAGATACATATTCGCCATCCCATCCAAACACCTCACCTCCCACCGCCCATCGCTGACCTTGCGCAGCGGCGTCTCGCGGTTCTGCGTCCCCCACGCCACCCACGTCCCGCCCGTCCAGTGGTCGTCCACCACACGGCCGTAGCTCACAGCCTCGGGCATCGAGAAGGCGCAGATGGCTTCGAGGTGCTTGAGCACGCCGCCGACGAAGAACGCGAGCTCCTTCTCCGGCGGGCTGACGGAGATATGAGCGTGAGCCGCAGTGCCGATGCCAGGGTAGGGCTGCGGGTGGAGTGTAGCGCGGAGGCCGTGCGTCGCTGCTATTTGGTAGATGACTTGGCGGGCTTGGATTAGGGTGTCGATGGCAGCGAGGGCTGGGAGAGGCGGAAGCACAAATTCGTATTGTCCGGCGCCGGCCTCGGCATGGAATTGTTGGATGGGAATGCCGATTTCAGCGAGGCTGGTGGCGACTTCGGCAAGGAGGGGGAGTTGCTGCCACTGCTGGGGCGTCATGGTACCCCACGCGTGTTCCGTTGTCAGAGGAGCGTAAGACTCGTCTTTGTTTTCGGGGTGGCGGGTGAGGAACGTGACTTCGATTTCGAAGCCGACGAGAATGGTGATGGAGTGGGCTGAAGAGAGGTCATCGAGGAGGATCTGGAGGCCGCCGCGGGGGCATTCTTTGATAGGGCTTCCGTCTTCGTCTCGCCAGAAGGATAGCACGGTTGCGGATGGTAGTGGGTCTTTCTTGTGGGTTCGTCGTAGAGTATTCAAGTCAGGTTCGATGTAAATCTGGCCGGTCGTGTTGACTGCAGGAGTAATTCCGTCGTTCTGAAGAGTGCCGGTGTTGCCGCGCGAAATACCAATGCGCCCGCCCGTCTTGATGAGACGTTCGAATTCGGCAATTGGCACGATTCGGACTCGCATCGTGGCCATGTAGTCGAGCCATTGAACGTATACGAATTGTATGGCCGAGTTGTCTTTCATGAAGTTTTCAAAAGCCTGGATGTCGTAAACTTTTGCCGGCGGAGGTGGCTTGGGATGCCACGCAATAGCTTTTTGATTGGCCTCACCCGTTTCTTTCAAGTTCAAGACTGGTGAAGGTTCCTTCAGGTCGTATAGGACGTTCGCGTTGTTGTAAAGCATATCCTTGGTCATTGAGATCGCTTGAGCGATGGTCAGGTCATCTTTCTTCACATATTCTGATAATACCTGTATGCAATGGTTAGCATATTAAAGAGAAATATATATATGCATTGTTGCGTTTGGAATTTCTCTGAAAGCTCGTGGGAATGGATACCTCGTATAGAGCTTCCCGAAATTGCTTATTTGCCAGCCAATACGTCTCGGGAAACCAGTGTCCGTCGGTTGAGTACAGTAGCTTGCCCCCGGGCACCAGCTCTAGAGATTGCCTTATTGCAGATATTTGGCCGTCTCTGCTCAGCATTGGGAAGATCTCCCCAACATCAAGGAAAACATGGCTGAAGACGGTGGCGAGATAACCTGCTTCTCTAGTGTATGGATACGACGAATGGAGAAGAACGAAGGGCACAGCTGGATAATTCTCGATGAGTGGCTGCAGATAGGCGGGGTTGGACTGCAAGAGGTTGATATCGTTGTCCCCAAGGCCAGTATGAAATTGCAAGGGCTTGGACAGATCCGTTCCAAACGTGTTGTCGGATAGGATTTCCAAAGTCTTCAACACGAGAAAGTCATTCAAGGCCTTCCTTTCGATCCTGAACTTTCGTTTTCTAATGGCTCGTTGAACATAGTGCTCGAAAGGTTTCGAGACTTGAAGCTCCAGGTTGTCATTGTAGTCGGGTTCGACATCCAGTCCGCTCCTGTAACAAACGACTGTCTTGAAGCCAGCAACGTCAGGATCTTTAATTGCGTCGAGGATCGACCGCTCAAACTCTCCTGTAAAAAGGACCCATATGTCGGTGAGATATCTTTCTTCTTCCAAATCCACTTCCGAGGCCTTCCGCAGAATGTTCTCCATGAGATACTCGGCAACTGTCTCGATCCTCACGATTCGTTTCGTAGGAGCTGGAGTATATTGATCGTGCTCATCATAGGTAAGCACTTTCTCAGCTCCGCCCAATCCGTCATCCATGAGAATGCAGTGGATTCCATGCAAGCATTTTCGAATGAGAGCCTCCTGGTCGTTGTGGAGCCATTCAGCCCGCTTCTTCAGGATATCTTCCCAATTAGCATCCTTCGGGCACTCATACAGTTCTCTCAGCTGCCTCTCGGCTCGAAGATGTGACAGCGACTTGAATGTGTCTTGTAGCGCCCGTCCTTGCGCTTCCGAAGTGATGGCCTCGAAAGGATGAGCTTCCACGTGAGTGGGTAAGAGCAGGTTGTGCGCATGGTTGTCGATGATAGGGCAACTATCTATGGCAGCCTTGAGAGGCTCCATGGACGTTCTGCCGTCAGTCATGGCGGGGATGATGTGATGTTGTATGATGGAAGTACGCGGGCTAGGAAGGAGGTGATGAGACCATGGAGAGCGCAGCTGTTCACATGACTCAACACAATCTGTCGTAGCCTTCTGAGGACTCTGGTTCAGAGCTGTTTATACTGACCGGTGTGCTTAGTAGAGGTTAGTGATGATGCAGCCTTCGGCCCTTGAATGCCGCGGAGACGGCTCATGTGATGAGAAACGAAACATCACGATCTTAATTCACAGCACGACTGGTAAGCTCGAGTAATACTCTAACGTTGCTCAATACGACCACAAGAACCAGTCTTGTAGTACTATAGAATCTCTTAAAGGGTACTAATATTCAGGTAGGTGCTCAAGTTCAAAAAGAATGAGAGGGTTCCGGGGTGTCTCTCCACCGACCAGACCCCACGCTCTCCCCACCACCAGAGCGCAACAAAACGCAAAAAAAGGAATGGTCAATACGGGGGTCGAACCCGCGACCTTGGTGTTAACATAGGATATTAGCACCACGCTCTAACCAACTGAGCTAATCGACCGACTGATCTGTTTGATGGAGTATGCGACGAAAATAAGCATATATAATCATAGGACTACGCTGGGCTTGGCGTGGTGAAACCCCTCGGTCGCAAATTAAATCTAGCCCTGATGTATGACCCACTATTCCTCCCGAAGCTCGCCCCCTAAATTCTCTGCAGACGTCTCTTTGTCAAACTATCATCATAAAGCATAGCTATTTCATCCAGCAAAGACCTTGTGGGCTATTCCTGTTAGCTGACCACAGGAGCGAGCCAGTCTGCAGAGTTGTGTCCATCACGAATGGCAAAGCTCGTGATCAACAATGGCTTTGCATACGACTGGGTCTGCAACTGAAGCTCCTGGGCATAGATCTGCAGTCGAGCTGAGAGGCGCGGTAACGTTGCATCTGTCTATTTGGACACGGCACACTTCACATGACCGTCGAGTCTTGTCATGGTCTTATTATGAGCTCGCATGATCAAAAGGTATTGTGTCTCAAATTCCAAAGGTAAATATCAGAATACCTGGGATAAGAGCATTCCTCTACAGTCAGTGCAGAAGGGATCTCACACAAGCAGGTTTTAGCGTACAGATGACGAAGTCCTGGTCATCCGTTTCCCTCTCCAATCTCTCCATCTCTTCTCCGCCATTCCCCCGGATCGTCCAGTAAGCTGTGGCACCGGGACGCGCCGGGGCGACTCCGTGGCGCTCAGGAGACAATTCGCAGTCACGCTCTTGACAACGCAGCTCACCAACACTGTGCCAGGCTATGCAAACATGCAGCTGGAAAAACATCGTACGATAATAATGTGCAGGTTTGGAAATGGTAGAGTAATATATTATCTGTAGCTACCCCACAGATTTCCTTTTCATCTTGAATTCAAACCACATCTTTATATCATTACAACAACTGTTCAAACTCCAATCTCGAAATACCAGCTATCATATACCATCATGAGAAATATTCTTATTGTCGGCGCGACAAGAGGCCTTGGGCACTCTCTAGCAACCCAATATGCGAAGAAAGGCTTCACAGTCTATGCAACTGCCCGTTACTCCGTCCCCCAGACGCCATCACACGGCATCCGCTGGATCGCAAACGTCGACATCGCCCACGAAACGGCTGGTCGTAGAATCACTGCCCAATGGCAGGAAGAAACCAAGATCGACCTTCTCATCATCTGTGCAGGCTACTTCGCCATAGAAACTCTCGAGGAACCTCATTGGGACAAGGAAATCGCTATGTACAAGACTTGTGCGATCGGGCCTGTATTTCTCGTTCATCATCTTCTCCACGCAGGGTTGCTGAAGGAGAATAGCAGAGTGGTCCTTGTTGGGTCCGAAGGCGGAAGCGTGACGCTGCGCCATGAGAGTCAAGGCGGAGGAAACTACGGAGGACATGGAAGCAAGGCTGCTCTGAACATGGTCGGAAAGCTCTTGAGTATAGATTTGAAGCCACAGGGGATTGCCGTTGCTATTGTTCACACCGGATATTTACGGAAGGAAAACAAGGAGGGGTACTTTGAGCCTGGTTCCAAAGGAGGTGAGTCTCTGACATCTTCTCCTACGTATGTACTCTTCCTTCATTTTCTGACGATCTTCACAGCTGTCAAGCCAAACGAAGCAGCCGCAGGACTGGTTGATTGGATCGAATCCTTTGACATCTCTAAGACCGGGGAGTTTTGGGCACCGAGAGGAGCTAGGTACGTTATTCTCCAGACACATCTTGTCCAAAACTTACAAAACATAGCGATATCAACTCCGCTGAGGCTGTGCTTGGTCCACTGGATACGCTGCCAGTGCCGCTTCAGCTACCGTGGTAGTCTAGCTTTCCAACTTTTTTCGCTAGTCTGTTTGTAGCATACTTTTCCTTTATCGGTCGCCAATACCATGAGGACAGGACCGGGATCTCAATTTTTTTCATTTGAAGCGCGAATTTTTATGATCTTGAAGAGGAATGTTCGGGAATCATTATCAGTAGTCTTTACTTCGGCATGCTACGGCATGGAGGTTGCGAAGCCGTCAAAGGGCGTGAAAATCAAGGGAATGACATGAGAGTTGATTTTATGGGGAGAGTCAAGTCAAATTTTGAGCACCAAGACGAATTTAACTAAATACATATATCCTTGAAAGTGATCGTAGCATTCAACTAATGACTAGTCATCCTCTTCTTTGAAGTGTTGCAAAGTCGAAGACCAGGCGTACTAGCGCGAACGGGGCCCCGCCAATACTGAACACCTCAGTACGTGGTACTCCTCAGCACGTTGCCAGTTTTTCCATAAAGTGAGTCCACCCTCAGCCTTGCCTGATCCCTATTATACATGCCCGATGCCCATAGCACCGGTCACTCTTCCTGCAGTCATCGAGATGCGGTCCGCGACCGACACGTGCTTTCACCGGCCCATTGGTTTTATCCATGGGCCATTCCCTCCACGATTATTGAACTGGTGAATTGATGCTAACCGCACTTCCTGGACATAGTCGCGCGAAAGCGCATTGTAGCCCATTATGCCTGCGATGCTGGACGACCCGACTGCTGCCATTATCTACCGCACTTCTGGCAGCATGCCATACCCTACCGCGGGGACACCGCTTCCTCCTGACATTATACCCCGCCAAGTCATCCTCAGAGATAGAATCACGACGGCTACCTTGTTACCTTTCTCTTCGCCGGATCAGGCACCGGTGTCGTTGGTAGCATACCTGTCAGATCAACTCAATCGCGAAATCGAGAAAGGCGACACGTACCCCATGATTACCCCACTACCTCTCGAGTCCTTTGGCCCATACTGGTTTGGTGTGTTTGGTGCTGTCATGCTTCTGGGAGACATACAGAGCCCTACGGAGCTTCTCGATATGGAGAGACAAGGACGAGATTGGGAAAAGGCCTGTCTTGGGAGTTTTTACATCAAGCCAAACTATCCTGGCCGGTCCAGCCACGTCTGTAACGCTGGCTTCATAGTCACAGATGGTGCGCGAAATCGAGGTGTTGGTAGACTGATGGGAGAATGCTACCTGGATTGGGCTCCGAAGCTTGTTTGTGCCCCTCGAAAATCGTGCAGAACTTCATCGCTGATTGATTAGGGCTACTCATATTCTGTATTCAACCTCGTCTACGAGACCAACGTTGCATCTTGCCGTATTTGGGATGCTCTCGGCTTCAAACGTATCGGTAGAGTCAAAGGAGCTGGAAACCTCAAATCATACCCGGACGAACCGGTCGATGCGATAATCTACGGGCGAAGTCTTGGAGGAGACGATGATTTTGTTTCCGAGGAGAGATTCGACAAGATCAGATACTATCTCAAATACGACAAATACCCCGATGGTGCAGATCGTGCGGAAAAGAGCAGACTGAGGAGCGCTTCACTACACTACAGCCTCATCCCAGCCTCCGGCGACGAGCCAGAGAAATTGATGCTCAAGGGAAAAGAAGTGATTCCGGACCCTCAAAAGCAGTACGAAATCGCTCGAACTTTCCACCTAGACAGGCACGGTGGAATCAACAAGACCACGGCCGCGATCGCCGAGAAATACCACTGGGTGAGAATCAAGGAGACAGTCAGCCTGGCCATACGACACTGTCCAGAGTGCGGCGAACCCAGCAAAGCGGAGCCTGCACGGCCAGCTGCCTCGACACGACACAACGCTTCTCGACAAACATCGTCTCCTCCAAAAGCGAGATCACCGTCTCCGAGTCAACAACTTCAGCAGGAGGCTTCGGGGGCTAGCCTCCCGGAGATTGAGCAGCAGCTTGAAGCTTACGGGAGTTCAAGTTATCAAGTACCAGAACCGGTGTATTATCGAGAAGGCGACATGCCGGTTGACCCTCAGCTCATGAACCCTACTCTCGAGCATCCACCATCACCCTTCCTTTCGGCGGCTGTGTCAACGCCTGCTGATGGTAGTTCGGCGCAGGATACACCGATGACAGGAACTAATGACTCCAAGTCTGCAATGTCGCATTTGACACAACAAATGGCCCATAATACCACATACAATCCATCGGGAAGAAGACAATGAGCATCACGAGGAGAGTCCAGATCACCCTCATCTGATACGCTATTGCTTTCGATTCTTACGTTCATAGGGGAGGTTGTTGTCATGTTTTGATGTCCCCTCATACGTTACTGTGGGCTTCGGCTTCAACAGAAAAAGAAGAATTCCTATGTAGTAGAATAGACTACGGCTGCCTTCTGAGACCAGCCTCATATCTGCGTCGTGGTACGCCAATGCTGTTATAACTCGTGTTTGCGCATCATCTGATCGGGAGTAATCCAACCGATGGGACGAGTTCAGTCTTCACCCCTCAGCGCTACAACCATTGTCCAGTACTAGGATGCAAGTGTGGGCATGCCGTCCCTTTCATCTCGTCTCGACTTGTTATGAGGTGTTGAAGCACCACCAACTGCGGCAAGTAGGCTTACTGTCAGCGTGTGAAATCTCTCTGATTAAAACTGTTAGAATATGCCGAAGCGCCGAAATACCTCCAATGGTGGTGCGTAAGTGTGCCCGGACTTTTGGCAAGGCACTGTATTGTTTGAAAGTGAAGCATTTGGCTCTAACACTCCAGTTGAATCCAAACAATCTCGTGGTCGCCGTTGGCATATGCGTGCTTGGGCATCCCTGAGGCGATGACGCATGCCAGTCGCGGCGATCCAAACAGCCCCTCCACCAGCCACAGCCATATGCCAGAGATCGTCATAGGGCGTCCATGCCAACTTCATAGAGCGCACCCTCTCCTGATGTCTACAATTACTTCTTGCCATTATTGAAACGCCCTGGAATCTAGCACAAAGACTCTTAAACCTACCACTCCTCAGCTCTACCACGAACTCAAATAACACACCCCTCGAGCCCCTCTTCCGCCCAAAACGACCCCGCCACGCCACCATGGTCCTCGAATACTTCACCAAGCACACCAATAAGCACAAGCATGCCGAAAAGGGGGAACACACAGCCCAGACGCCCATCCTAAACGACGAGGACGAGCTGTTCCTCCAGCGCATCACGTCCGAAGGCACTCCACCACCCCTGCCTGAGCGACCCGTCGTCATACTCGACAATGGCACGAAGCTGCAAGGCAAGGACGCACAGACGGCGCTGATGGACGGCGCAGAGAAGGTTCCACTTCCCACATCACCGCCCGTCGATAGCGAAGGCAAAGAACTCGTTGACGGAGAACAGAAGACGACGAGTGAGGAGAAGAAGAGGAAGTTCTTGTCGTATTTGCCTGCGATTCCTGGACGCGGGAAGGCCAGTTACCTCTCTCAACAACTCTACGATGTATATACTAACGTCTGCTCTAGGGCAAGGCCAAAGAAGCCGCCGCCGCAAACCTCCACGCCATCGCCGCATCTTCCAAACCCGGCGCCCCATCTTTAGCCACCGCCGAAGAACAGAAAGAGCAGCAAGACCTCACTGCCATCCTCGACGACCTCAACCTCTCCGCCGTGAATAACCGCGTCTTCAGCTTCTCAAAAGAATCCCAGGAACTCCTCGATAAGTTCAAGCTCGTCCTCAAGGATCTCATCAATGGCGTTCCCACCGCGTACGATGACCTCGAGAAACTGCTCACAGGCTCGGAAGCCCAGCTGAAGAAGCTGTTCGGCGCGCTGCCGCCTTTCCTGCAGGCGCTGGTCAAGAGCCTTCCCGCGAAGATGACGGCAACGCTGGGTCCAGAGTTCATGGTCGCAGCGTCTGAGAAGCCTGGCTTCGACGCGATGAGCGCGAGTGGGAGCAAACCTTCCAGACGGCCGAAGATCCCAAGTCTGAAATCCTTGGTCGCGTCTCAGGGCGCCGTGGCAACGATGTTGAAGAGCATCCTCAACTTCCTCAAACTACGATTCCCGGCTTTCGTCACTGGAACGAACGTGCTCATGTCCCTAGCCGTGTTCCGTAAGCAGCTCCCTTACCGATATTACTCATATCAATTGCTAATCCCTATCACAGTCCTCCTCTTCGTCTTTTGGTACTGTCACAAGCGCGGCCGCGAAACCCGCCTCGAGCGCGAACGCCTCGACGCCGAGGGCAACCCCGTCGGCGGCGAGTCCGACATCTCCGACCTCGAGGACAGCACCGTGCTTGAGAAGCCTAGAGACGCGGATGTGCAGCCGCCGCTGATCATCCATCCTGACAGCGCTGCGCCGGATAAGCCCAGCGCAACGGTGGCTGATATGCCATCCGTGCTTAACCTACCGGAGCCGGCGGCTGTACCGCTGCCGGCGCCTGAGGGGACGACGCCGTTGAGGGAGGAGCCGATTGAGGTTAAGAGGTAGAGATAGTACGGAAGTGACGAAAAGGGGAAGGTGATGTGACGCGTCACAGAGGTTCTGTTTTCTTGGACTTAAAATGATAATGATATCCCTGGTGCGCGGCTCTGGAGTCTCCGGCTGTTCTTATTTTACTAGTACGGTACGATCTTTAATACACGAAGTCACGATTCGATTACCATGCATTTTTTGAATTCAAGATTCCGAACAAGGCGATGGATGAGATGCAAGTATCAAGCTGTGCGACAAACCGCGTTGAGAGGGATGAAGCAAGTGCGTAGAAGCCATACGAGGTTGAATTAAGCTCTACATTAGAGGGTGCGCGGTTCGCATTACATCCTCATCGAGCATGCGTACGCATAAACAAACTTCATTTGAAGAAGAAGGAAAACACTAATCCCATTCGCTTTTTGTCTTATGCCCGAAGTATGCAGCCGATAATGCACCACGCCCTCTACCCAAAATCCCAACGCGTGTCAAAATCCCCACTTCACCACCCCTAATGTGCCCACCTCGCAGCCATCCATATCAGCATCAATAAACCCCCCAATCCCCGCCATCCAACAAACTCTGACTCGCCACAAAACTAAACCCCCCAAACGGGTTCTGCTCCGCACTCGTAACATCATACTCTGAGAACGTGCTCTTGCGACTCGACACCGGACTCAGCGCCAAATCCGTAAACTCATTCGCAAAGTTCTCCGCGAGCTCGGGGTCCGTGATCAGCGGCTGGATCGGGGGCACGAGCTCGCGCTTCTCGAGCTTCAGCCAGTCGAGCTTCCTGAAGAAGCGGTGCTCCTTGAGGATCTTGAGGTCCTTGGGCATGTTGGCGCCGAGGCGCTTCTTGGGCTCCTTGCGCAGCAAGCGCGTCAAGAGGTCCTTGGCGTCGGGCCCTAGATAGTAGGGCAGCACGAGCTTCTGCTTGAGGATCTTCTCCTGGATCTTGGCGTGGTTGTTGCCGGCGAAGGGGGGCGCGCCGGTCAGCAGGTCGAAGCCGAGCGCGCCAAAGGACCACCAGTCGACGGCCATGCCGTACTTGACGCCCGCGATGACCTCTGGCGCCATGTACTCGATCGTGCCGAGGAACGAGTTGCAGTTGGTCTCGCCGTCGCAGGCGACCTTGCTAAGGCCGAAGTCGGTCAGCAGCAGGTGGCCTTCGGAGTCGAGCAGGCAGTTTTCGGGCTTGAGGTCGCGGTAGATGACGCCGACGGTGCGGTGCAGGTGGTCGAGGGCCAGGACCATCTCGGCCATGTAGAAGGCGACGGTTTCTTCCGGGAACATGCGCTCGGCCGCGAGGTGGTGGAAGAGCTCGCCGCCTTGGGCGTATTCGAGGATCAGGTAGAGTTTCTCGTGGTCTTGGAAGGCGTAGTAGAGCTTTACGACGAAGGCGTGGCGGTTGACGCTTTCTAGGATTGCGCGCTCGGTTTTGGTCTGCTCGATTAGCTTCTTGTGGACGGTCATGGAGGCCTTCCGGAACTGCTTCTGTGCGTAGAGGCGGCCGGTCTCGCGTTGCTTGACTAGGAGGACCGTTCCGTAACTCCCCTTCCCGAGGCAGGTGAGGGGCTCGAAGTCACTCGCGGTCATCTTGCGCATGGTGGATGCGCCGCGCACATCGCCGCCTTCTTGCACCTCATCGGTCTTAGCTGGCGCACTGGAACTGACAAAGTCGGTCTCGAAGTTGACTTCATAGCTCTCCATCTCAGTCCTGTCGCTATCGCTGTCAAGCCCAGAAACGCTGGCATTGCTGGAGATGCCAGACCGTAACATTCCAGTCAGGTTGCTCCTGGTAGGCGTAGTCGTCCCAGAGCTGATGCTAAGAGCCTCAAGCTTTTGCTTCAACGAGCTGATACCTCCAGCGGCAGAGATTGGCCTTAAAGATGGACTGCTGGTGACGCTACCAAAGTCGGCAATGGTGGGACCAAGCCTCGGAGTGTGGATGACTGAGTAGTCGGATTCCTCTCCTCCAGACGTGACCGGGGTGTGAAAGCCGCGAATGGTCGTCATCGCTGGAGCGCCAGGCTTCATGGCCTTCTTCTTCTTCTTGTTCTTCTTTGCTTTCTTCAGAACAACATCGAAGTCTAGTTTCTCAGCAGGAGGGATGGATTTCCGCGTTTTGGCAGAGTCGGCCGGACGCATTGCTGGGGAACTAATATTGATCGGAGGAGTTCCGGTGTGAGGTCCAGCAGTGGTAGCGGGACGGTCGATACCCATGGCTCCCGCGCCCGCTACGAAAATATCATCGTATTCAGAGTCTATGGCTCGCATGTGTCCGGGAAGCGTTCTGGAGACATTTGGCGGAAGTCCTGCCGGCGACAGGTGCCGGTCAACCTGGTCAAATGCGAACATGGCCATTATGCCGGTCTAAATAACTCGAGAATAATATCGCTATCCAAATTCGGCGCCCACTTCCTTGCGGAAAGCCGGAAGACGCGCTGTCAGCGCAGCGACACGGCGACAAAGAGCGCGCGCAGGCAACCAACTTTCAAACAATCTAAGGTATCCCAAAGTTTACCGTCCGCCCGATCAAGGCGGACCGCCCGCCAGTAGCCACAGCAGTGCGGCGAAGCTGGCGTCCGTCTTGCAGAGTCCGAAGGTCAGGGTCGGGTTTGGGATTGGGGTCGAAGCCGAGGCGCAGAGGCGGCAGAGTGGAGGAGCGGTAGTTGATGCGGAGATGCCCATAGATGGTTGTATTGGTGGTTCTGGTGGTCGGATAGATGTCGCCAGGTTGATATTACCCGGACGAAGTGCTGCGATGGTGAACGGTGAGTGATTCCTGCCTGGAAGGTGAAGTGCAGGAAGGTCCGGGAGAAAGTTCGCTGGAATTATCTCAGCTGTCGGAGGCTCGGCGCCGCTTCTTCGATGGCACGTGACACTAACTGCCATCGCCAATTTTTGAACCAACACCATCATACGGCGTCATCACCCACTTCTGCCACATCACAGCCTCGTTGTTCCTGCTTAGCATCTATTGTCGTCCTCGTTTCTCCATGGGTTCGATCCTACGCTTGTGCCACGGGTCACGCCCCAACCGCATCGTGTCAGTGATGCAACTTGAGAGAGCCGCTGGTGGCATTGATGGCTGAGTATCACTAGCAAACGGTTCTGGTATTTCGTTTGTAGGAGCAGCAGCTATCATTCTCACCTAGAGGTGTTTCCATACAGCATTGGATATATTTGGAGCCAGCTCGGGGCTTATTCTTCCACCGTCTAATTCTGGCTCTTCAACCCATCACAAGCCCTGCCCAACACCAACGGAACTCCGCTGACACGGCTCGGCCCTCACACACGGTTACTGTTCGTAACTGTGCTGAAAGTCCTGTTGACCTGTCTGTCGATGCCTGGACGTTGCGCGGGCTTGCCTCCTTTCCATGAAACACAGGTCAACATGGGTTGTCGCATGAAGCGGACGGTTTCTTTCCTCGTCGGTCCCCTTGACACGGGCTACCACACCGAACGGAATCGGGTCTCGTATCCCTGGTCTTGTCTCGATCTAGCTTGCGAGTTGTTGAAACAGGAGCACAACAACGAAGAAGCGTGCTGTATCCGGCCGGAGGCCTCGGATGGACCACATTCACTGTTGAGGCGTTTGACGGGCTTCTACCCTCTTGAGCAAGTTCTTCCATAGCTAAGTATGAATCATGCCATATCCTGGCGGTTGGCTATATCTGTGGAGTGATGGGTCCACCGGGTGCTCGACCCGAGTGCATAGGCACCATCTCGGTGCGTCTGCGAAGCTTACCGCGGACTCAAGGACATGCTTGGTGAACATGATGGCCCAAAGCGTCTATATGGGAGTGAATATCAACAAGGTGTGGTTCCCGATCTGGGCACATTTGGAGATGTATCCTCATTCACTGCTCAAACGCGTGACACTCGCTTCACAGCACTGCCACCTCCTCAAGCTGCGAAACGAACCCTTTGTTGCTTGTATAGACCCCGGGCTTGGCTCGTTCAGCACACCTACTCCATCAACGTGAGTAGCCCGAGCGGGCCTCAGGACCGCTGGCTAAAGCCGAATTCGAACCGACCTGGTGGCTCGTTCAGGGGGCGGTCGAGCGCCGGGAGAGCTGCGAACATGCTACTATCACCCGCAAACATGCAACTGTCACCCGCCGCATGCATGTCGAGTCGTCTCATGGGGCACAGGTCGATGCGGCTTGGTCGATTCGTGGAGAATACACAGACATGCCCCCTAGAGACCCGGCGTAGCGAGCGAAGGCGAAAGACCACGAGAACGAGCGGATTGAACGATTGGTCTCCTATCCATTTCCTTTGACTAAACACTGCAACGCTTGCTGGCAGAGTCCCCCGAGCATCGTGTTTCCATGGCCTTGGCCTTCCGAGTGGACTCCTGGCAGTGGGCATGAAACAGCAGCGTGTCTTGTCGCCGGTGGGCATTTTTAGACACGGCGTCGATGGCGGTCTCAGACCCCTTGCTAGGATCCCGTCCTGCCCGTCAGGTACCCGCGCACGGCTGACACGCAGCCAAAGCGTGCAATGCACGGGGCGGCATCGCTCAAAGGGTAACGTCGCGGGCCCAAAGCGACGGCGGAGAGAGCAAAACAGGAGCAGGGCGAGGGGGACCCAGGCGGCACCGACGCGCTGGACTGGCAGCGGCAAGCAACGCCAACCCCGAGTGGCCAGTCGTGGCGTCGCGCCAGGATGCGGCTCGGTGGTGAAACAGAGGGGTCGCCGCACGTGCCCTCGACGCCAAGCCGACTGCGTCCTTCACGCCCGGCACCTGGTCGCCGTGCCTAACAATGGAACCTCATCGCGCGCGACAACTGCATGGCCAGTCACGCCGTGGGCCTCCGTGCTGTGTGGCTAGCCGGGTGGGGACTGAAGGTTGTTTCGCCGCCGCGCGTTTCAAGAGAGCCCGTCTGTATGTATAAGTGTGGCCCTACCCGCGCTGTAGAACCACCATCTCATCCATCACCAAGTTGTTTCCCTATTAAAAGTCTCGCAAGAGTCAGATTCATTCGCTTGTCTGCTCTTGTTTTCATATTGTTTCTTTTCCACAGTCGTTAAAGCAGTGCTTCCTTCGCTATCTTCCTACTACCGTTCGTTGATACCATCTATTCTCCCCGCCATGAGGCTCTCTACTTCTACTCTTTTGATCTCTGGCCTGGCTGCCCAGCAGGTCACTGCTACCTGGGACCGCTATGCTCCCGTCTTCAAGAACCCCACCAACTGCAACAACGAGTGCACGGACAAGCAGAAGTCGGGCTACGGCTGGGGCGACCTCCCCACCGGCAACTTCGATTCTTATGACGACTTCAACTTCAGTGGAGGATGGACGTGCGCCAACAGCTTCAACAAGCGTGATGCCCTGACCAAGAGGACTTTCAACAGCAAGTGTGCGAAGACCACCGTCTCCAAGTCTAGTCCCGCGTCCTTCTCCTGCAGCAAGTCCACCGGTTTCTCTGTGGACGAGCTGCAAGTGTCTGTCGAGTTCGACTGCAATCTCGAGTTCCACTACGGTATGGAGGACGGCTCCACCTGCAAGCAGGTATCGCCCTGCCAAAAGGAGGGTACCACTGTCAAGAACACCCAGTGTGGTGGTGCCAAAACCGTCCAAGTCTACCTCGGCGACCATGGCGAGCAGGGCAAGGACAGCTGCGAGATCGGTCTTCATTACATTGGCTTCAACTGCGACTCTCACTCTAGTTCATCGGTTGTTGTTTCCACTCCCACCCCATACAGCACCGGATGCATCCCGGGCTCCTATGGCTGCAGCGAGTCCTCTGTAATCGTTTCTACCCCAGCGCCATCCAGCGCCGGATGTGTTCCGGGTGCTTATGGCTGCAGCGCGTCTTCCGTCGTGATCTCAGTCCCAACTCCATCCAGCACTGGAGGGGTTCCTTTCACCAGCGTCCCCGAATCGTCCGCGACCGTTGCTACTGAGTCTATCCCTTCGAGCATTGTTGCGACTACTTCCATCCCTTGCGTGCCCGGAACATATGGGTGCGGCTCAACATCCGCTTCTATCCCCGGCACTCCCGAGTCGAGCTCTGCTTCTGTCCCTGGCACTCCTGAGTCCTCTGCTACTGTTCCAGTAGGACCTACCACTACCCCCAGCATTCCTGAGTCTAGCTCCACAGTCGTTGTTGCTACTACATCTGCAGCCTGTGTCCCCGGAACATACGGATGCGGCTCAAGCTCTGCTTCAGTCCCGGGTACCCCCGAGTCGAGCTCTGCTTCTATCCCAGGCACTCCTGAGTCCAGCTCTGCTTCTGTTCCCGGCACCCCCCAATCATTCTCGGCCACTGCTCCCGTGGAGACTACTACTCCCCCTAGTATTCCTGAGTCCAGCTCTACGGTCGTCGTTGCTACCACATCCGTGCCCTGTGTCCCGGGTGCGTATGGTTGCCAGGCTAGCTCCGCTTCGGTCCCAGGCACTCCTGAGTCTAGCGCTGCTTCGGTCCCAGGTACGCCCGAGTCCAGTGCTGCCTCTGTTCCAGGTACTCCCGAGTCTAGCGCTGCTTCGGTCCCAGGTACGCCCGAGTCCAGTGCTGCCTCTGTTCCAGGTACTCCCGAGTCTAGCGCTGCCTCTGTTCCAGGCACTCCCGCATCTAGCGTTGCATCGGTCCCAGGCACTCCCGAGTCTTCTTCTGCCACTGCTCCCGCAGGTCCTACTACGGTTCCCGGCGGATACACTAGCTTCCCTGCTACCGTCCCAGTAGGATCTTCGGCCACTGTTCCCGCTCAGTCCGAGAGCACTCCCGGCCCGGCGCCTTACACCTCTTCTTCTGTCGTGGTTGAGTCAAGCACTGTTCTCTTCCCAGCTTCTACCTCCACTCCTTCAGCGGTTCCCACCAGCAGCTGCCCTGGCGTCTTGCCCAAGTGCATGAACACCTGGATCACTACCAAGTCTCAGTGCAAGGACAACACCGACTTCAGCTGCTACTGCAAGAACGCCGACTTCACCAAGAGCGTTATCGAGTGTGTTTCCGCATGGGGAGCCGATTCGTCTGAAGTTCAAGCTGCTCTCTCATACCTCGTCGGTATCTGCGCGCCATTTGTGCCCCAGAACCCCGGTCTTATCACCAACTGCCCAAGCACCGTCACCCTGGGTCCAACTCCCGCCGAGACCCCGGCGTACACTGCCCCTGCTGCCCCTGCTACCACGCTTGTTGTCATCACCTCTTTCTCGAGTGCAGTTATCCCAGGTGCATCCACTCTCGCCCCGGTTGCCTCAACTCCTGCCGGCTACACTGCTCCGGTCACGACCATCACCCTCGTCGCTACCCAGACTGTAACCGTGCCGTGCGTGCAGGGCGGAACCACGATTGTCGGCTCCTCTATTACCTCCACGACCGTTACCCAGACCGTCGTCACAGTTCCACAAGTCGCTTTCACCACCAACACCAACTCCATTCCTGGTGCCACTGCCACTCAGCCCGCCGTCAACCTCGCGCCTGGCACTCCCGCCGCAGTCTACGCCACCGCCACTTCATCCTTTGGCACTATCGTCCAGCCCTACCCCACTGGGAACGGCACGATCACCTCCCCATCCGTTCCCCAGTTCACCGGTGCTGCATCTGCTCTCAGCGCCTCCCACTTCGCCGTCGGCGCCATCGGCGCCGTCATGGCTCTTTTCGTTCTGTAAATGGGGGAAACATCATATAATATCGCATGTTGCATTGCATAATACCCGCGGTGTTATTTTTCCTTGTTGAGAGAGGGGGAAAGAGAGAAATGGAAAAAAGTAATGTAGTATTACTCGGGTCGAAACGAAGCATTGGCAGGGCGTTTTGCTTGTAAGAGTCGAGGATTTTTGGCTTCATGACTCTCCTTAATATTTTGTTGTGTGTAATATGTAAGAGATTATGCTCTTGAGCAGATCTCGAATAGCAATCAAGAGATTGAAATTGAAATGACTGGCTTTTGATGCGTGAGATGCTGTGAAGTTGACGAAGGATTGGTCGTGGTCAGGTGCGCCTGACGGACGAAGGCAAGGTAGGAGCTGCACGGCTGCACAACTCTTACAAGTCCTTTCTCTTTCTCTACATAACTAGCTAGTCAGATAACTCAGCAATCAACACTTCGTTCGTGTACAACGTGTACCACTGCTATGCACACGTGACAGTGCGTAGTTCTGGAAGCGTACGAAGAGTAAGACGTCGGATAAGGGTTAAAAGGGGGTTTTTGCGGGGGGGCTAGTACGCTGATGACGAACTGTCCGCAGCGGTCGAACGGGTGGGCGGGGATGAAGCTGAGAAGTCCGTGTGTTTGATTAACTCTGCATGTACGCAGTGTCCAGGTGTTTGACTAAGTCTACGTATAGGTAGGTCTACAGTGTCAGGGTGTTTGACTCTGCGGCGGCGGCGGGGGTGGGGGTGGTGGTGGATGCCAAACCCACTGTGCCGAGAAATATGACGGGTACTTTAACTTTAAGCAACTCACACTCCATGCACACGTCGGTATCTGCAGTAGTTCTATATAGGTCGTGTACTGTGGCTATTTATAAACATCCAGGACCCCTCTCACCTAAAAATTACGTTCGCATCCTCGCCTTTAAGCCTAATTTGTAGAGAGCCTTCTTTTATAACATAACAGACTTCTCTCCCCACAGAACCACTATAAAGCTCTTACCACTCTAAATACTAATAGCAGGGTCTTATCCGAGCATCAAAACCTCGCTATGATGCTGTGAAGTCATCATCAGCTTGGTGTCTGCTGTGGCGCGCAAATTCATGCAAGGTCGCCAGGCAGGTTGGTACCTCCAAAAGAAGCGACCACCAATTCGGGCTAGTGGAGAACAACCCTGCCTCACATAATCAATCATCAGGGCGTTGCGGTAACGTCAACCCCCAGCCTTGCAATTCAACTTGGCCACGCCTCCAGTCAACCAACTCAACTATCTGAGAACACCTACAGAATCGCCACCTCACAAGGCTATGGCCGGTGCGGGTCGGCCGTCCTCCCTGCTAGCGCGGGCGAGGTGTTCGTCCACTTAAGATCTAAGGGTGGCAAAACTTTCACGCTTAGAAGTAGCTCTCTGGCGCCACTCTAGAGGGATTCTAGAAAGTTTAGTAGACTTTCGAAGACCCTATAGCCGGAGCGGAACAATCAAGCGGTGGATGCAGATTTATCATTGATGTAGATAACTTCCGTCCCATCACCCACGCCAAATTTTCCGGAGATATCCTCCCTCTCCACCACGCTTTCCAAATAGAGCCAGGTAAGCCCTCGAGGCCTTACGTGCTCTGTTCTATACCTAATTGGATATAATTCATAAATCAAATAGAGAGGTATAGCCGAGGCCGAAAATTCCACCTATTTTCTATTATTTCAGTGCCGTGCTATTGCATAGAATAAATTCATTTATTGTCCTCCAGCCCTCTTGTGTATCCAGACGATCGAATAAAGCCTTCAGCAACCTCACCAACCTGTAGTTGCTGCAGGGCGTACTGCATAAAGGCCCCAAAGTCGTTGAAGTTGTACACCAGTAGATAGTTCCTTTTAATCCAGCTCTTGAGCACGGAAAAGGTCTTCTCAATGGGATTCATGTCAGGTGAGTAGGGCGGCAAGTAGGAGAGCTCAACACCATGCCTGGCGCATAGATCTTTGAGCTCCTGGCTGCGATGAATTGACGCGTTGTCTAATATAATGCGAGCCTGGCGTCCCTCCTCTAACATCGGAACAAGCTGTGGAATTACAGAGACCTCTACCCAGCTGTTAAAGAGCTCGCGATTTACGGCGCCTTGATATACTAGAGGATTATCCAGGAAGCCCTTAGTAGTGAGGGCGAGAAGCACTCTCCAACGCTCAGATCCTGACAATGGCACAAATGAGAGAGCCGGCAGACCTACAGGTGAGTAGCCACGCTTTCTATCGCCAGTTCTCTCATTACTAGCACTCTCGTCTACAAAGCAGAGGTCCTCAATGTCCTATTGTATCTGCCTGCCGCGCCAGGCCGCTCGTAGAAACTGTGACTGCTGGGCTGCTCGTAGCTGCACCACCTTCCTCGACCACTTGTGTCGCTTTGGAACTCGATATATCGTTGCCTCAGAGGCTTGAGCTTCAAACTGATCGAATAGGGATTGCTGGATCTCATCAAGGTATGCGGTGGGCTGGTCTTCGAGGATCCACTGCGCAACGTTAGCCTAGCCAAGCCAAGAGACTCAACACCATGACTTGCCTCTTCTTGCTCTATCGTGAGAGTCCGTGGCCGGCCGAGTTTGACGGTGGTAGGCGCGTACGGTTGGCCCCAGATGTCCCAGTTCAGCCGGAGCTTCCGTATGGTGTTTTTCTGCACCTTTGTGGTTCGGGAAATCGATTTAATCGACTCATTGAGGTCTAGAAGGCGGCGAATCTGATTAACGACTAATGGGTTCAGTTTCTGGCCCATTTGGCTTCATTAGGTGTTGAGGTTATCTCTGTTTTCTACCGTACAATTTTGGTGAGGTTGGTGGGGGATTGCCTAGGCCGACAAGGGGGGGGGAATCACTACATTTTGCAAGCGACAATAGCGAGTAACTACGTGATGCAAGCTGAGTTTTCAGCCTGGCAAAAGTATAAAACAAAAGCCTCGCCATTGGAAACTCCAACGTCCTACACTCAACACCATCACTAGATTGCTCACTTTCATTGGATAACTTAGCTTAGATTCGCAACGGCTACGTTACAAGCAGTTTAGCGCTTCCAAGCGCCTCAATAGTCACAGTGTGCATGGTGGCATCCATGGTAACATGTCAGCCCACGCAACTCGACACTCTTTAAAGGGGTCTAGCTCACAACATAAAGGGCTCATATCGAGCTGACGACAGCCTTGGACGAATTCCATCAGGTTCTCTCACTAGATCAAACTGCTCAACTCGTCTCATCCTCGAGCCATGCGCCTACAGCAGATGACGTTGTCCAGCTGACAGAGCAAGTCACTCGAGCAAACGCAAGTCGGAAGAGCCGTCTCTTTGCTACTCGAATCCAAGGACTCCTAGGATCCGTTCAGCAATACTGTACGGTCATCGACACGTGCGCAGGGCCCAACCAGATAGCGGCGCTAGTTTGGGGCAGTATCAAACTCGTTATCTTGGTCTGTACTCCGTGTTACCCATGTCCTATCCGAGTTTAACTTACAATTCTCTCGTTTGCTAGGTTTCATCAAATTTTGCCGAGTACTTCGACAAGTTGTCACAGCGAGTAAATCAGCTCAGCACCTACTGTCCCCGGTTGTCTGAATATGGGAAACTTTTCCCAACATCAGCAAGGCTACAGGAAGCAATTTCCGCATTTTACGCTATTATTGTGAAGTTCTGCTCGAAGGCACTTGGGGTAGTGCAAGAGAAAGGTTAGATCGCAAAACCAGTTCACAATTGTTCACAAGGATTCTAAGTCTTTTACTTTAATAGGCGTCAAACGATATTCAAAGTCAGTATGGAAGTCATTCAAGGTGGACTTCAAGGATATAGAGGAGAGCATTAGTGAAGCAAAAGATGAAGTTACCGAGGAGCTGCAACTGGCATCCGAACAAGAAACACAAGGCTTTCGCCGCTTGTTAACAGCAGAGATAGAAGAAAACAGAACATTACGCATAAAGCAAATTGCAGAAATTCAAGAAAGTAGGGATTTTCGATCGCAGCAGACGCTTGCGCTCCAGCGGAGCGGAGCTCGCCAGATTCAGAAGATCCTTAAAGAAGCAGGTAATCCGAACAAGTTAAAGCAAAGAATTAATACTAGAATGAAGCTAATTATATGATTATCATAGAGCGTCAGAAGATTCGGCTACTGCGATATATTCCGAGCCATGACTACACGACTAGCCTTCACCATGCACGGGCGCTGCGTTGCGAAGGAACTTGCTGTTGGCTTCTCAGCAGATCAGAATTCCAGAACTGGGTTGATCAGACAGGCTCAAAGCACCTCTGGTGTTACGGAATTCGTACGGTACTCCCTAATCACACCTAGTCCTTGCCATGCAGCACATAATGCTAACTTTTGCTGACTTAAAGCTGGTTGTGGAAAAACTGTTCTTCTGTGTGTTATCCACTAATCCCTAAGGAGGTCATAGTAATATACATTCTAAACAATGCTTTAGGGGATATATTATCGATCACCTGAGAATGAAATTCTCAGCTCAAAACGAAACAGTCGTCATCTACTATTTCTTTGATTCCTCCGAGAAGAAGTCATTGAAAGCATCTACCTTTCTAAGATGTACTTTGCACCAGATGATCAAACTCGAGGCCCTTGTCCCAGAGTTGCAGAGGCGTTTGGAGTCGCTCTTCATAGACCGGATAGATCAGTCAGAACCCACCACCAGCGAACTTGAACAGCTTTTCTTGCACTCCTGCAGGAAATTTAAAGGCTGTTTCCTCCTCATTGATGGACTCGACGAAGCAGATGAGATTGAACAGAGAAATGTCAAATCCTTCCTCAAAGACGTACAAAGAACGCATGCTGCTCGAATTCTTGCCACCACCCACGCAGCCATGGACATGTCAAAGGTTTTCACCCGCGGTTTGGCGCTGAATATCAGGCCGGAGGACCTCAAAGATGACATCGAAGTGTTTGTCCAATCGCAGATTGATAAGTATTCGCAGGAGAAACTGTCTGATTGTTCTCCTTATGCGCTTGATATAATCAAGCAGAAATTAATATTTGACGCGGAAGGAATGTGAGTGCAAGTTAATGGTCCCCGACTTGATTACATGTTTGGGCTAATGTTAGCTTTAAGGTTCCTCTGGCCGGACCTGCAGCTTAAGGCTATTCTCGACGTCTACGAGGAGCACGGAACCCCAGACAGAATTCCCGATCTCCTTGAAGCTCTCCCACGAAAAATCGCAGATCTGTATAGCCTCTTACTACAAAGACTCACCAATGGCGCTGACGACCGAGCCGAAAGAGCAAAGAAGGCATTTCAGTGGGTTATTTATAGCAAAAGACCGTTGACTATCGGTGAACTAGAAGAAGCCGTATCTATCTCCATCAACCAGAAGTCATGGCAAAGCCCCTCTTCCATACTTGACATACCGAGACTCGCTAGACTGTGTGGAAACCTCGTCAATTGCGATGAGGCTAACAGAACAGTATCGCTGGCTCATCACACCGTTGAGTCTTTTCTGCTAGGCTGTTCTGGCAGACGAGAAGTTGCTAGCTTCGCTATCGAAGAAACCAAGGCAGAGCAGTATATGGCAGATATTTGCCTGACGTATCTGTCTTTCACGGATTTTCATAAAGCACTTACACGGACCTCCGACACAAAATATCTTCATGCAATGGGTCACCCTGTGGGCCTGCTAGGGAATGTAACTCCGAGTTTCATTCGGCCATGGGCATTGAATGCTGCCAGAAGCCGCCGAGGCAGGACCCCAGATCAACCTGTTGACCTAGTCAACATTTTGAGAACTGAACTGAGCGCCCGTCAATCGAAAAAGGTGGACCCTACCTTCCAAATACTCGAATACTGTAAGAGCTACTGGTACAGCCACATCCGTTACATTGCTCTGCAAGATACAAAACGGTTTACGACAATAGAAAACTTCATACACAGTACGCATCTACCAAAAGAATGGATGCCATGGAGCTCCATTGAAGACAAGGAATCCTTGCCGTTCTGGAATATGTTCGTCTGGGCTGTAAGAAATGGCCATACGATTATTTTCTGTGTTTGGCAAAAGATTGCAACCATACAAGAGTCTAGCTACTGGAAGTACCTTTGGAGAGAGGAAGGGAAGAGGCTGTTTGCCTCTGCATGCGCGTCGGCCAACCTTGAGCAGTTGGAGATAATATTGGGCGCGAAAAGAACGAATGATTGTGTAATGAGACCATTTGAAAGCGAAATCAGTCATGAATTAATGAGAGTCTCTCACTTGGGACATTATGAAGTTGTAGAGCGGCTGCTTCAAGAGAAGGCTGATGTTAATACAGCAGCAGCAAGAAGTGGTGGAAGAACAGCACTACAGGCAGCGGCAGAAGGAGGGCATCTTGCAGTAGTTGAGCG